GTTGCATGTGAGTAGACTTATCAGCTACTTGGACACGTGCTAAAGCGGGAGGTTAGACTCGGCGAACATCCGTCGAATGGTGGTGAGGACTGCGGTATGTCCCATGTCTTCTCATTCGTGCTGCTTGCAGGTCCTGATGTCATCCGCAGATGCTCGGCAACTTGAAGAACCCTCCAGAGCCTTGGGCGGACGTCATCCGCACGCACTACCGACTCAAAGCGAACTCCATCAAGGCCCAACTGGACAAGTGGCTGGCCGACGACGATGGCGTTGTCACTGTCGGGGACGGCGCGTTCCACCAGAAGGCCGTCGCATCAGGCAGTTCGAACGGCCTGGCCGAGGATGTTGCGGAGCTGAAGGCGTTGCTCACGAAGCTACAAACGGGCGAGTATCCCGCTACATCTTCTTAGGTCTGGTACCTGGTTTCTGGTGTCTGGACTTGGCTTCGAGGCAAGAGTCACCTATCCCCAAACTCTTTTGTCGCGTCTGTTTGCTGTCTCTCGCAGTGTAATCATATGTAACCATCAAGCAACGAATTAGAAACACCCCTGCATTGTTGATTTATCCGTAGTTCGCTGGCCTATGCCACACGCTGGTCAAGAGCTAGTATCAATGTGTGCTTACTGGCTGCTGCTGATTGCAACCTACCAACACAAACACCTCCAGGATCTGAACAAGCGCGTGAACGAGTGTCGCGGACTCGCGGGTAGCCGCGCCACCCCCGCACGGCGTTTAGATTGAGTTGCCGGAGGGTCCCACGCATGTGATATATGACATCGACCCCGGGTCCTGGAGATGCTCGAACGTTTCACCGGCCACCACTGCGACCAGAACATATAACTCGCCCTCTGTACTAATCCTCTGCTTCACCCACCCTCTCTTTTCCCTCTTCACCGCCTTAGAACATATATACCGGACGACCGACATGGCCAGCGACTCCGTCATCCACGCTCTCGCCGGAGCCGCGGGCGGCATCGTCGCTATGTCCGCGACCTAGCGAGTACCCGTCGCATATAACCACGCGACACTACGCTAACAGACGCGTTTCACATAGCCCGCTTATCTTCCTCTCGACTCGCGCAGCAGTGGAGACTAGGAAGGAGCAGAAGGTATGGTCGCATGCATGTGACCTCGTACCTGCGCATGTCTGAGCAAGATCATGCACACAGACCACCCACGAAGCCGTACTCGACATCATCAATCGAGAGGGTATACTCGGCCTGTATAGCGGGCTGAGCTCTAGTCTGCTCGGCGTCGCAGTCACAAATGGGTGCGTACTCGCTGCCTTGGAATGTGCTTCCGCGTTATAGCTCATTATGTCCGCCCTCCAGAGTGTACTACTACTTCTACGAGCGCAGCCGCGGCGTCGTTCTCAGCGCGCGCGCCGGAAGCAAGGGCTTGAACACGCTCGAGTCCATGCTCGTCGGCCTCATTGCCGGTTCCGCCACCACGATCATCAGCAATCCCATCTGGGTCGTGCAGACTACCCAGGCAGTATATAGCATGAACCAGGAGTCCGCCTCGGCTGCAGCGGGCGAACCGAGCAAGCAGGAAGAGCGTCCGGACTTCATTAGGACGGTCCAGCATATTCTGCGCAAGGACGGACTGGCGGCGCTCTGGCGCGGACTGGGCCCGGCACTCGTGCTGGTCATCAACCCGATCATCCAGTATACAGTGTTTGAGCAGCTGAAGAACTTTCTGGTCAAGTCGCGTACGGCGAAGTTGAGGGCGGGCGGCGCGAAGACTGCAGTTGCGCTCTTGAGCGACTGGGACTACTTCTTCCTCGGCGCATTGTCGAAGCTCAGTACGCTCACTCATACTCTCTGCTAAACTCCGTGCCTTCCTAACGTATTTCCAGTCGCGACTTCGTCAACATACCCTTACATGTACGCATCAATGAATTGATGCTGCTTGTATATACTGATGGTTTTGTATCAGCGTCGTGAAGAACCGCTTGCAAGCCGGCCAGGCACATGCTCAACGGTACAAATCCGCGCTCGACGGCATTCTCACTATCGTGAAGGAAGAGGGCGTTGAAGGGCTATACAAGGGGGTTGGGAGCAAGCTTACCCAGAGCGTCCTCACTGCTGCGATCCTGTTCGCGGGTCAGAAGCGCATCTACGAGATGACGAAGAAGGTACGTACCACAACTAGCTTTGAAACGACGATGTCATTCATCATAGTAACGCTTAATGTCAGGCCTTGTCGCCGACGGTGCTTGTGAAGTAGAGCCTGAGCTTAATTGAAAGTACGGCTGGCTAGTGATATATGTTCTGTTAATCACGCATCGGGCTGAATGCGCTAGATCCAACTAGCGATAGTTGAAAGATAGCCTCAAGATGTATAGTCCGAGCGAGAGGGGAGTGCCTGTACGATACCGTCGGATCTGGCGCACTACGGTGCCGGCCGATCGGAGGCGCTCATACATAGACAGAAGGAAACATTTGAGAGACGCCCGGCCACTCGTCCTATGCCGCTCTCTTGGCATTGCTCCCCTCAGTGGATTCTGTTCTAGGTTCTCTGTATGCGTGCATCATGCAGTTCTTGAACCACTCTCGGGACCGCAAGCTAGCATATCAATGTGTTCTCTGTTATCGCCAGGGCGCCCGCTAATCCCCACATTATCTGGAGGCGCAGGACTGGACCAATCCCATCAGCCACCTGATAAGTCGGCAGCTCGGAACTGTACACTTGACGCATCCGCCCACACGGTGCCTCCATTCGAAGGTCTCGGTGTATGCCACAGTTTCGGTCACACGCCCTAGGGGCCGTATCCACTCTATCGCGCCTCGTGCGGTCCGGAGGTCTTAAAGCTGCTCGCCGCTGCCGTTTCGCGGTGGCTGCTCTTTGCTCAGCTCCTTGACAAGATGTCGCGCCAGCCCCTGCCTGAGAACATCCCGGATGTCGCGTCGAATCCGTTGGCCGTCATGGATAGCGCAGAGGACTCCGGGAAGGGTGGTTCTGGCCACGAGACGGAGGTGGTTGCAATCGCTCCGGTCAGGAGGGATGAACCCATCGTCACGCGCAAGGTGCATTCTGCCCCTCTGAAGTGCGCATAGCAGAGCTAACGAGAGCTGCTGTAGGAACTGTGGAGCTACTATCGTGCGTTCAGGCTATCTGTGTCTGTTTGTTAAGTTGTCTGAACTGACGCGCGATCAGTCTACTACAACGGTGACAATGTACGCCTCCAATCCCACGGCAGTCCATATTCACTCTCTGACCACCGCTATCTGTATAGGGCGTGGGCCCGAATGGTCTGTAACACGCGTTTTCTGAAGTGGATAGTCTCCCTGACTTCGCCGTGCTCAGGCTACTCCATGACGCTGTTCCAGTCACTCGCGACCGCCGCAGGATTCGACCCCGTCAAAGGTCCCGGATCGAGCTGCTCCGCCGCTGATGCCTCAGGTCAATGTGTGCTGCCCTGGGCAGGTGGTACCAAGGCCGTGAGCTCCGTCGTGCTCGTCGCGAACGGAGTCAGTTTTGCAGTACGTACAGCTCGCCCCATTCTCCGCCAGATGAACTCTCACTCAACTTGCGTGTTTTGGTATAAAAGGTCATGACCCTTATATTCACGACTATCGGATCCGCCGCGGATTATGGCGGGTTTGGACGGTGGCTGCTGCTCATCCTGACTGTCATTTGCTGGGGGGCTCAATTTGCCAGCATGTCTCTGACGTGTGAGCACTACTTTCCACATCGCCATCCACCGCCCTAACACCCCCCAGCACCCGACCGGTGGAGCGCTGCGATGGCACTCTATATGATCGGGTTTATCTCTTACGGCGCGACACTCGTATTCTACGCAGCCGTCTTCCCGCGCCTTGCGCGGAACACCCCGCACGCGCGTAGCCTTCGTGAGAAGTACGAGAGCGGGGAGATCCCTGCCGAGGAATACGAGGTCGAGGAGAGTCTCGAGAAGAACCGTATTAGCAACATCAGCACGGTAAGCAGTCCGTCCCTCGATGCAGCAGACGAGTCGGGGACTAATGCATATACATGTCAGATGCATAGCAACATTGGGTACATTTTCACCCTCGCGCTGAACCTCTCGCTTCTTTTGCCTCGTATGAACGACCCGAGGGTGAACAACTATGTGCTTGTTCTGTGAGTCTTGGTGAACTACATACCGTGTGTATGCGTTACTAATGAAGATGTTCCACAGGACGAACGGATACTGGGTGCTCCTCGGAATTTGGTGGTGTGAGTTGCATAAATGCCCGCTGTAGACCTTTAGCTGATATGTGCTGCTAGTCATCTTCCAGCAGCCCAGACCTGGACCCTCTCTTCCCAAGGGAGAACATTACTTGACAATTGGCTGGAAACAGGTACGCAGGAGGCGTTCATTCTCGTGCTGTATCTGACGTCGTTGGCCTCACTCTAGATCTGGGTCGCGTTCAAGCAGTACAAGAAGCTCCCATACACCTTCATATACCTCATAGCATTCTTCCTGCTCGCTGACGTGAGTTCGACGACTGTTGCTCCAGCCATATCCTTTTGCTGATCATGGCGTCTGGTCAGGGCCTGAACACGACCGGCACGCTTGTGTCAATCTGTCAGAACGACAAGTTCAACTTCTCGTTCCTGCAGAACACGTATCTCGGTCTTGCACAGGCCATTACCTCCACAATCAGGTGAGGGGATGCGGAGTAATTCCCTACCTAACTCTGATCATGAGCGCTGATACGGTACGGTCACAGTACGCTGGGCTTCTGGTACATCCAGAAGTACTGGAAGATCCCCACGAAGACCATGGTACCTTGTTCACCTTCTAAGAGTTCCCCGCTTCCTCTCTAACACCCTATACTTACAGTTCACGATCACGAACGTCGTAACGATCTTCATCCCCCTTTGGGGCATGATCGGTATCTGGACGACCAAGTTCGGGTACGTGCGAACCGTATTTTCACCATTTTGCGCGTGCTCACCCCTGTCGACCTGCAGCTTCCACAACGTCTGGGAGTTCTGGGCGTACAACGTCGTGTTCGGCCTCTTCCAGGCGCCGTACTACGCCTTCTCGCAGACGATGATGGCCGAGCTCACCCCGCCCGGGTTCGACAACATGGTGCGTCCCCCCTTCCTCCTCCCCCATCTCCGCTCCCCTCTGACAAGGCATTCAGTTCTTCGGACTGTTCGGGCTCTCCAACCGTGCATCCTCGATGATCGGCCCGAACGTGATCCAGGCGATCATCGACCGCACGGGCGACAACTGGAAGGGCTTCCCCTTCCTCTTCGCGCTCTGCCTGTGCGCGAGCGTCGTGATCTGGTTCGGGGTGGACGTGACGACCGGGCGGCGCGACGCGGTCGCGTGGGCGGAGAAGCACCGCTCGTACGCGGAGACGGGCGTGTTCACCTCGGAGGAGGATGGCGTGTCTGCGCCTGTGGAGGACTTGAAGAAGAAGCTGTAGGACTCGTCCCCGCTTCGTCTTGCTTGCTTTCTGTATTCTTGGGATGTGCTGTTTTATATGACTTGGTTGGAACACGACGACATGACTTGTAACGCACCTTCGGGGTCTTGAAAGTGGACAGGAAGTATTGGTCGAGACATTGGGCAGTGCCCGGTGACCGCTAAGATGACGGCTCCCTGCTAAATCGAGGGTGTCGGTCCGAATTCCAGGCATATTGCAACTTCGGTCCGAAGTCTGGCATATTTGAACGCGGCGCATAAGCCGCTCTACAACAGTGTATTACCCGAATGCGGCAGTGTCCGTAGTACTACGAGAGATGATGTGTGCGTGCAGTGTAAGTAACAATCAACGATACAGAGTGCTATCGATAGCAACAGGTGGTGTGCGGGAAGGCAAACGTGATAAACATGGACAATGGTAAGCAAGCGAACATGGTGCATGGCAAAGGGGTGGGTGGCGCAGAGAACAAGAAGTCGTGAAGCATCCTAGGCGGGTCATTGTCCGAGGAACTGGATGAGGGCGCGCGAGACGTCGTCTGGGTGGCTGATCGTGATGTCGTGCGGGCCACCCTCGATAGGGACGAGTTTGGCGTGTGGGATGAGCGTCTGGACGCGCGACGCGTAGCGGTATGGTACCACCTCGTCCGCCGTGCCCTGCAGAAAGCGTGTTAACGAGCTGTTCCTTCTTAATATGGGTAACAAGATCGCGAGCTGACCCAGATGATGAGCACGCTTCCGTTCGTTTTGCGTGAATGTCGCCCGAGCGCGGCGAACTGTGGTGCGAGACTGCGGAGGGGGCCCTCACGGATGGAGGATGCGAGTGCCGCGTTGTAGCCAGGAAGGTGGGCGGACTGTAGTCGGACAACCTGTAACAGGCCGTTCAGCATCGTGCGGACATAATCAGGTTGAATAGCAAGGGCGCGGATCTACTTACATCACCTATAGGGTTGCCGGAGAGCTTCTGGTTCGCTAGATACTGGAGATACAGCTGCGAAAGAAGTCAATGATCCGTTTATATAGCAGACGAGGTGCCAGTATCAGTCGGAGAATGGTAGGGCTTCTGCACTTACACGGAAGGGGTAACTTGACGAAACGACTTGCATAAGCGGCGACGATAACAGTCTCGTTGTACGGGACATATCCGAGGACTGAAATAGCCGGTCGTCACTTTCACGAAGACGCGCGAATGGAGAGGCGTGTGTACCTCCATAAGCCCCACACTAGCGATGAGTACGACCTTGTCGGTGACGAGATGGGGATATTGCGCGCCGAACGCGGTGGCAATTCCACCGCCCTGTGCATATAAAGGATGTGAAATCGTGCCTGAGATGAATGAGAGAACTACGTACCATGGATACACCAACGATATCTGCTTTGCTCCAGCCAATATACTGGAGAAGCAGCGCAAGTTGCATGGTGTACAGATTTACATCGTACGTAGTCTGGGGTGCGTCCGAGTACCCACGCCCATATAGGTCTGCTCTTCTTGTGAGGAACTCGCCGGAGAAGCGTCATACGAGCTACGCACCGTACAAGAGCACGCGATAGCCCTTCGCGGCCAATTGAGGCGCGACGTCTTTCCAAATCATCGCCGGGACAGAGAGTCCGTGGATCAGAACGACCTGAAAGGGACGTCGGAGGTATTCTTGGGAGGGAAATGAAACCTACGTACCCGCTTGCCTTCTTCTGGTCCGATGAGCCAATATCGGACCTATTACGCGCACTGAGCGGATCTGCACGCGATAGGGAGGGAACGGACGCGACGCACCGTGCCATACGGAAACTTCGCGTACGCACCACCGTCGAAGAAGGTGTCGGGGTAGATGGACCACGTCGGAGATGATTTGGGGAGCGTGGCCAGAGACGGGTGGACATAGAGCGAGGAGGGCGAGTGCGGAAAGACAGTCAAGAAGTAGGCGGCGATCACGACGGCTGGGCAGACGAGGAGAAACCACTGGAAGGCCGAGGAGGGTGGCATGGTTGGGAGGAGCGAGGAGAGGGCGCCCATGTGGATGGGCAGAGACGGACGCAGACAGCTCGAGAGTGGACAGGACGGAGCAGCCACTGAGCTCGAGTGGCCAGAGCGAGGCCGCCTCACACGTCCCCACGGCTTTCTCGGTCCCGCTCCACACGTGCCCCTGCCTCTCCCGTCACGTGTGCCTTCGCGCGAAGGCGTTGTTGCCCTTTGTTTGTATCCGCCCTGCTTTCGGCGCGAGCCCCAGCAGCACGATGGTCTCGACGTCCGACTCTCTCTCCTCGCCCGAGCTGCACGGGTCCCTCGTCCTATGCAGCATACAGCCGGCTCAGATGCGCCCGCCCTCGCCCTCGACGACATCTTTCACACCATGTCTCCGTCTCCAACGCCTCAACCACTCCCGCCTGAGCCGTCTACCTCCACGCTCTCCGAACACCCTTTCTCGTTCGATGCAAACCCTCCGCACAGCGTCCCGATCACCGACTACTCTACGCATGTTCCTCGCACTCACTCTCCGGAGCCTCTCGATTACTCTGAGCTCGAAGTCATGCGTGCGCGCGTCCAGGAGTGCGCCCTCTCCCACAGCGCACGGGAAGCTGAATTTGCCGCCATGGTGCGCCTGTCCGTAATATGGCCCGCAGTCCTCGCCTGAACAGTGCCGGCACAAGGTATTACGTCTGGCCTCACACCTTCTCCTCCACCCATCCCCCGCCCAGCTTGCATCACAAGCAGAGGTCATTGCCGACCTCACCTTCCAGCGCAATTTGCTACTCCGCGAGCGAGCCGAAGAAAACGGTCGGTGGCAGTCCGAGAGAGATCAGTGGGATAGGACAGCCGACGCTCTAGCAAGGAAAGTACGCGCTGTGCATGAACCAGCGAGGGCAGATTCGGTATATCTCTATCCTACGCTTCCTTCTGCCACTGCGTGCTAAGATCTGCGCGCCTCCAGGAAACCCAGCGTTATGTAGCCCGCTTGGAAGACGACCTCAAAATGGCTCGCCGCAAAGTTCGTTTTACTATATATCCTATGCATTCAATTTCTCATCCTCCCTCCCGCTCGGACACTAGCTCGCCGAGACCCAGTTAAGGCTTTCTTCTCTGGAACGTGAACTCTCTCGTCTGCGACCACTGCTTTCTCTGCACGCGACCATTTTACGAGATCCACAGCTATGGGAACCGATGCAGTATCCTACCATCGTTGTCGAACAATATGCCCGTGGCTCGCACGAGGTAGGACACGCTGCGCATGAGGGCAACACTGTGACAGAGACAAGAGTGGAACCGCAGGGTGATGTCGGCGCACAACAAACCCACTCGACCCAAGCCCCGCGAGTTCCCTCGAGCAAGCACCACTCTCGCAAGGGGCGAGACAGAGACCGCGAGCGACCAAGAAAACACCGTCACCGGCACTCCATCGCATCATCGCGTCCGCTTCTTGCGGATGCTCGCTCTGAGTTCATATTGGTCGCGGCTCGCAAGCTCGGGCGTTTACGTGCTGGTATACTATCTGGGTTCGTCAAGGAGCGAGCCAAGCTCGACCGCGAGGGCGATCTCCTGACGACAAACACACACGTGGACCGCAACTCGAGGCATGAGCCACCCTCTCCTTCCACCTCCCGACCTCGTCCCAACGCGCTAGGTGGAACGGCTGGCTCGGACCACCGCTCGGCCCTCGAAGGAGAGGCGGGCTCGTCAAGCCCGCCGGTACCACTTGCGGCCTCGCGTCAGCGTCAAGGTTCGGGTTCCAGGACCGCGCAGCGTCGCCTCGCGCCCTCTCCATTCGTTCCAGGTGCTGGGGGTGCTGTCGCACGACCACCGAATATGCCGACACATCTGCACCCCTCCGCTCAAGCCTACCCGGTCGCGGCACAAGGTCGACATCCCCAGGCGATGCCACATCCCGGGTTCGTTTACTTCGCGCCGGGCCCGGGGCAGACCGGCACGATGCCCTTCGTCGTCCCGGTACCCTGGACTGTCCCGGGTACGCCACCAGGTAACCGGCAGATACAAGGGCAGGTGGCGCCTGCACTCGTCTCTCCGTCCAAACTCAAGACGCCCGCACGCGCTCAGGCCGCCGGGACCGCCGAGGGTTCGTCGACGCCTATGGACTCCCTCGTCAGCGCTGCGCGGACCCTGATCGAAGACGAAGACTACGACGGAGATGAGGGCGAAGCGGGGGGCAGTGGAGCTGCTCCCGCGACCGAGACCGAGGCGACGGCGGAGGAGGACGCTGTGCCCGAAGAGACTCCCCTCAGGCGGCGAGGCACGCGTCGGCGCGCAGCTGCCGCCGCGCCCGACAGCCCCGCACCGAAGAGGCGACGTACGGCCGGGGTAGCTAGTCATGAGCTCACCGCGCCTTCTGCCGCGGGTCCCAGCGCCAAGAAAGCTACTCGGAAAGCGAAGGCGGCGGCGGCTCCATCCCAGGTGCAAGAGAAGCCCAAGTCGCGCGGTCGCGCGAAGGGCAAGGGGAAGCAAAAGGCCGTTACACCCCCGCCTGACCGCCTTTCTCCTTCTCCCGCGTCGACGTCTGCACCTCCGCCGGTCGCACCAGCACGCGCCCCGCACGCGCCCCAAGTTGCGCGAATACCAAGTGCGTTGGACGTGCTCGCGGATCAAGCCGCGCAAGAGCAGGGGCGATGGCCGTCGCTCGACGCCGCGAGTCGGCGGGATAGTGAGAGCGAAGGCAGGGAGGAGGACGTGGTTCCCGAGGCGGCGCGTACGCCGACGCCGCCAGCACCAGACCCCGTCGACGACGACGTTTTCGCTCCAGGGCCTCCAGAGGCGTCGCCAGGGGGCGAGCGCGAACCCGCCGTCGAACCCACCGTCGACACGCCCAAAATGGACATCGCTGTTCAAGACGCCGCGCCGGCTGCGCAGGAGGACGCCGACGTCAAGGATGCGAATGGCGGGGAAGCAGCATCTGTCGAAGTAGTCGATGTGCCCGAAGCAGCTGTCTCGCGAATATTCGACGAAGACCCCGCGCCCGCTCCGGACGCGACCCCGCAACGATCCCCCACCCCTTCTTCCCCGCCAATCGCGTCAGTCCCGCCACCGCCGTCTTCGCCCACACCACCTGAGCATCCGCTCTTGTCCCCTCCGCGCCCCAGCTACTCTCCGCCGCCCGAGGCTCCTGTTCTGGAGCCCCAGGGCCCGCCTTCCTCACGCTTGATTAGTGCCACTCCAGCGTTCGCAGAGGACCCTGCACTCAGCGTGGAGGCCCCCGTCGACGGTCTGGAAGCGCATGTGTCAGACGTCCCGCCTCCGCCGCCTGGCTCCGGGGACGAGCCTGGCGGCGGCCCTGGTGTTCTCGAGATCGAGAGCAGCGATGAAGACGCTGAAGGGTCAATAGTTGACTTTGAGATAGATTAACTAGTATTTCCGCTTTTTGTGTTGTTTTTGGTATACATCTTGTATATGATCATGCTGCTGTAATACCATGCTTGAAGTTTAACATAGAACCCAAACGGACACCTCTGATCTGCTCTGGAAAGAATGTCTACCAAACGCCGACTTTTGACAGTGGCCATTCCCGTGGGCGTTGGTCTTCTCGATCTCCCAACGAGCCAATAGAATGTGTCCAATAACCAGGGGCCTGGCTGGCCGATCAAAAATCAATTATAGATACTCCAGATAGCCGGCGCTTATCGCGCGGCAAGATTAGATTGCTCAGGATGAGCCTTGGGATTTCCTGCCTTGAGCAGCAGCAGGATACTCAAGTCAGGAGTTCCGGGGTTTCTCTGACAGCCTAGGCGCTTGAGGAGAAGGATTCCTCATGCCTGGAGGTATATATGTGTGGCTTTATGGTGAAAAATGCGACCAAACTACTCCCCTGTGGCAGCAGACCAATTGCCTGGTGGTCCCAATGACCAAATCGGGAGCGCACAGCCACCGCCGGACCTTGCCGGCGGCTGCTCGGAAGCTGAGAAGAGGTACTGTCCTCTCGTGGCCTCTATGCCAGGCCAGCAGCGCTGACTACAATCCAGACTATGGCCAGGTATTTGGATACAACCCCTCCAAGGAGGCCCTTCGGGCGCTCCATAGAGAGATATTACTTGCCGCGGGTGGACAAGAGTACTCGAGGAAAAACCTGTCGAACTGGTTCTCCAGACATCGGGCGACTTAAGGTGATTGGGGCTCATTCATCCATAAACTACATTTATTTATATTAATCTTGTAACATCCCTGAGCAGCTCGCTAGGTAGGACATCCACGGAGATGCGAGTCGAGCCGCGGCGAAGGCGCGCCGGCGGGGTGGCGCGTGTTTGGCGCGGAAGGTGTTGCCAAACAAACGCCCGAAAAGGAGCGTGGGGATTTTCTTGTTCGCTGCCTGTCGGTGCATGTAGTCTCGAGACGTTTATATACTTTCACTCCCTGCTCTCCTTCGCTCTCGTCTGTCTCAGCTTGCGCTCTGTACGTGACAGATCATCGCGAGCACTCGGCGACAACATGGGCTCGTCTTCATCACCCAAAAAAGCACCGCGTGCGAGCACGGCTTCGACCTCCGCGGGCTCGTCTTCTGCATTACCCGCATCCGTCTCTGGCTTCACGGTCCTTCCGATTATCTACGCTTCCTCGGCCACACATATCCTCTATGCGCGCGCGCACTCTGCCCCGAAACACAGTGATGCGAAGGGGAAGCAAAAAGAACGGGCGGCGGCCTTGCCAGAGGGCCGCACCCTGTTCCTCGTCAACGTACCGCCTGACGCGACCGAGCGCGAGCTGACGGTACTGTTCAAGCCGTGCGGAACAGTGGAGAGGGTAGTTTTCAGCACTGGCGGCGGCAGTGCACCGCATGAAGAGGAGATGCTGGAGGACGAGAGTGAGAGTGAAGACGAAGATGCGCAGGAGGGCGCCGCCGGATCGGAGGACGAGGACGAAGAAGACGCAGAGTCAAGACCAAAGAAAAAGCGCAAAGTCGCTGAGCCGCAAGCCCCGCGCGTTGTGCCTCTTCCCTCTCCTCCCATACGAACCCTACGACGCACCGGTCACACTGCCTACGTCGTCTTCCTGGACAGCTCCTCTCTTGCTCGCGCACTCAAGCCCCCGCAAAAGCCGTATGCGTGGCCAGTAGACAAGGTGGCTCCCTTGGGCCTTGAGCACTACACTTCGCTATACTCGGCTCTGCGGCCACCACTTGACGTCGTTCGTGCGCACGCGGACTCGTGGATGGAGGCGTTCGAATACGAACAGGCGAAGAAGAAGCACGAAAGCAAGTACAACAAGGGCGAAGCCATCGTCGACGAGGACGGCTTCACCCTAGTCACGCGCGGGGGTGCGTACGGCAAGACCTTGGGAGGCGGCGTCGGCGTCGCGAGCAAGCGGTTCCACGAGGACCAATCGGGAGCCGGCAGCAAGCGGCGGAGGAAGGACAAGAAGGAGACAAAGGAGAAGGATGCATTCTACGCCTTCCAGATTCACGAGAAGAAGCGGAAACGTACGTTCCAATCCCGCTCGTTCGCTCTTCATTTCGTCTCACCCCTGTCGTACAGATATCATCGACTTGAAGACGCGCTTCCAAGAGGACACGGCGAAGATCGAGAAGCTGAAGGAGAGACGGAAGTTCAACCCTTATTAAACTGTGAGTCTCGTTATGGCTATACGACTCCGCGGTGCTGATGTGCTCGCAATAGATGCAGCAACGGTGTATGCGTGTAGACTCTCACAGTGCTTTAATAATACGGTGCAGCGTGGTCCCGTACTCCTATTGCGATCGTCGGTGAGCGACCCGCGTTCCCAGGACATACGAGGACCGAGCAAGTCGTAGTACGCCGGCCTGCTGACGTCGCGATAAGATAGGATCGCGACATTGCCGTAGCTGCACCGGTACCGGTCGCGATTCTCAGCACTCACTAGCTTGCAAGAAGCCATACGCGCCGCGTGCTCTCATGTGAACTCGCCACGACGACACACTCCCTCCAATTCCTACCATAGATGAAGTGGACTGGTGTCTGCAACGCACCAATCCAACATATCTCTCCCCTGCCGTGCAGAAAATGATGACCTCACTGATCAAACTGGCAGAACGATACTTGCGTCGCGTGCGAGAATAAGAAGCACGCGCGCGGAGCCGCAGCGTTACCGTGCAAGGTACGTCGTGAGAGCCGCGGCGGTAAGATCACACACTACACTCGCGTACGCTCCAACTTTATCGGTCTTCTAGCGAACGCACCCGCTGTGCGCATCTTGCGGTGTGGTCGTGAGACCTATAAGATAGCGCCCTCGGAGGCCTAGGTGCAGGATGCTCAGTCGCCGCCGGCCCCTCATTGTTCGAGGACGTCGTTGCTCATTCCGTGCCGTCGCCACCATTGGCGGACATAATCGGGCCAAGCCGAAGAACGAGCATCAGTCGACAATCTGTCCCAGGAAGGAAGGCGACAAGCGAGACGGCTCCCGCTGCTGAATTCAGGTTAGTCTCTTGATCAACGAAACGATTCACACCCCGCGGTTGCACGAGTCGGCGCGAGGTACATAATCTCCCCAGGGTCCGAGTTGTCCACTGACCACGACCGAGCTGTTGCGCCAGGCCTCTCCCCCATGCGCTTTGCCCACGACGCTCTCACCCGTTGGCCAAATTCGCCGGAGAGTCAGGTAGCTCCAGTACTTCGTCTCTCGCAAATACCGTGTTCCGACGGTGTATCGTCCGGCTCATGATATAATGCGGTCAGTCCGGCTACTTAACCTTGAGGTCGTGAAGAGATGCTCATTCCTCCTGTTTTTTCGCGCATCTTAGGGTCGCCGCCCGTGACCTGTACATCTTGGATGACCAGTACTATCATGACCTGTTCGTCGTGCGGTACGGACTTCAAACCGTATCTTCTGAGTACTCAATGACTTACCTACTTTGTATAGGGCACTTGCCCTTGCCGGCTATGTCATTCTTTTATACGACTGTGTGCTAACATTTCCTGATGAAGTAAGAATTTCCATGCGATCCTATGCTAACTGACCTAACAAAGTTGCTCGCGCAGATAAAGTATATATGGCCCACTCGCTGGTCCACGGTGAAGGTGATTTATCTGTTGAACCGCTACGGCAACCTCGCGTTCCTCGGATTGGCCGACATACAGCTCATGGGGATGTGGTGGAACGATGGCCCCGACGTACGCATTATTCTGCGACGCGTAGTTAAATCAGGAACACGCTAACGGCGCACTCTCCAGTTTTGCTATCGTGCAGTTTTGATACTGTCTTTCGCGCAGCTTGTCTCGTTTGCCCTAGTTCATGGTACGCAGATCCTCTGATATTATTTCGAACCCACGCTCACTCTCAGCAGTACTCGTGCTCCTCCGAGCATGGGCGACTTGGGGCAGACGGAAGAGGATGCTGACCATCCTTGGCACCCTCTTCATCGTATACGCTTCCGTGAGCATCGCGATGTTGACATACGGGAACATAGATGCCGGCCGTACGTACTTTCCACCGACGTGTTGGTTCTTTACTGACTTGTGCATTTTAGCTACATCCTACCCCCTAGCTTACGTCACGAAGGTCTGCATTGGAGTGTTGCCGCGTACGTGTTTTCTAGTTCTCTGTCATAGTACGTCTAACTAACGATCATACAGCGCTCTCTGTAAGTGATCCTCCTCTCGATACTGTTGGGCATGCTCAACCACCCTAACGCTTTGCGCCGCCCAGTGGTTACTTTGGGTTCCAAGGCAAGTCGCGATATTCACGGCACACGCACCCATACTGATGTGATATGCCTGGTTAGTCTGGCGTTGGAATGCGCGACGTTCACCCTGACTATGGTCTCCATCCGGCAGTTCCACGTCTATAGCAACTGGCGCGAGCACTCACCTATCGTTCGAGTAATCTGCCGCGACGGTAAGAGGTCACTCTTGATAGAATTGTTGTCAATTGCTCACGGTTGGCTCAGGGGTTATATATTTTCTTGTAGGTCGATCTGAGTCGCACCTATGGCAGAGCTCTCAACCGAATGACTTCGCAGGTGACGCTCTTTAGCAACTCGTTCAACATCCTCATATGGTACGTCTATCGCAACATGCCGCTCGCCCATTCTCACTGCCTCGATCCTACAGGGCGCGTTATGCAGATGTAAGCACCTACTACCGTTCCCGAGGGGAAGAACTAATCGTATAGAGCAGCGCCCGCTCAATCTGCTCTCGACTTCGTACGTTCTGCAACTATTACCGCGCGCACGGGCTTCCTCTGACTTCCTCGGCTTCAAGGTTCACACTCAGCTTATTGATCGTCGCCGCGCAGCGGCTCGTGCTTGATCTGCGCAAGGTCACGGACGAACACGACGAAGTCTCGACCACGCGCGTCGGCCGCGAGGTCGAGCGCGCCGTGCAGGCCCTCCCGCGCTCGCGCTCAGCGAGTCCCATCGTCTTCGTCGACCTCGAGGCGCTAGTCGGTGACGGTCGTGGCACGACGAGGGGGAGACGGCGCGGCGCAGCTTTGGAACTGACGGCACTGAGGGGTGGCGGCAGGGATAGAGACCGGACTGTCCGTACATGATCGAGATGGTGGCGGCCGCGCTTGTACGATCGCGGGGTTCGAAGAGAGACTAGGATGCTGGCCGCGGAGGTTGTACTGTATGTATCGCTGTGTTTGCTTTCGTGTTGTTGCACCGTCCCTGTAGATGCATACCACCTAGACGATACCCGCCGCATACCCATTATGATCCCTTCGGTGTTTCCTCGGTCCTGCGCAGGCACCGAGCTCGAGGCTGGATACGTGTGCACCGTCGCAGATCAGCTTGTCCGTATCGAGCCGGTCATGTTGCACAATCTGCACTATACACTGGGTTGTCGTACATACACCTATATCCTTCCGTGTCTCCTGTTGCAGTCGTGATGTCGCGGGTTAGTACGTAGCGTAAGGTAGCGAGATCTCTCGGTAGGGTCCATTTAGTCGTCGTAGCCCGGCGGGTTCTCTGACGGGATGTCAGCGGGCACGTAGGGTGACGACGCCCCGCTCGGTCCAGGTGTGCTGTACGCAGCTGCGCACACGACCATAATCAGCGAAAGCCGCACGCCACTAGATATAAGGTGCAACTTACGCAGGCCATCCTCGTCCTCGGCAGATTGTCGCTTCATGTAGATCGCGCGCTCGCGCGTCTTCTCGAGAGAACTGGCGAACTCGAACATGCCCTTGTCCTTGAGGCGGATTTCGGCGCGCGTGCCGTCGACGAGGCCAGCTCCCGGGGACGCGCGGATCTCCAAGGAGAGGTAGTTCGCGCCGAAGCGCGGCTGCTCGAACTTTGTGGACAGGAGCGCGGGGTGGGGGACGGAGAGTGACTCGAAGGAGGGGGGACCTTTCGCGGGTAGATCCGAGACGAAGATCAACTGTGATCAGTGCGTTTCGTTTTGGTTGGGGGATGCAGTGAATGCGCGAGATGGAACGACGACCATGAGGTGGGACAGAGGGATCACGGCAAGGTAGAAACGGTTGAAAGTCAGTATGCTGTGGCGATGTGGCACGAAAGAGCGAGGTGCGTACTCGCTGATCGGTCAACCATATCCTCCCATTTTCCTTGAGCTTCTTCACACCACCGGAGCCGCCTGATGTCGTACTACCGCTGGGAGGCGCATCGGGTATGAAGAGGGTGAGTTCAACCCCAGAGTCGATGGTGCGGAGAGTGAGCTCATTTGGCAGTGGAGTAGGTTGGCGAGCAGGGCTGAGCGTCGCCCAATTGAGTGCCATCGTGTGAGATTCTTGCGGTAGGTGTGAGCACCGGCGGGGAGTCGAGTCGAGGGGTTGGCTGAGAGTACGTGGAAGAGAGAGGAAGAGAGAGATGGGATGTGGCTGATGGTCGAGTCTTCGAGAGCTGCTGCCTGAAGGCGTAATAGATAAGATTAACTTTACCTTTCGATCATCTTCGGCGGTCCGCCCACAGCCGGCGGCGCAAACGCGTGAGACCGACCGCGACACGACGCTCGTCGACGTCTTGCCGTTCGCCACCACCTCCAGCGCAGCTGTCTGCAATGGCGACCCTTGCTGGCGTGCTTTCAAACCCTCTTTGATCTTTCTAACGGTCTCTCACACTGGGCAACATCGGGTGACCTTGGGTTAGCACTTTCCAGAGACTGAGCAGACTTGTTCTATGTTCAGCTGTGTATGCAATCCTACGGCCGAACGCTCGAGCTCCCAACAGACGGCTAACACGAACTATGTCCGCATCTAAGCCGCCGGGAACTGTTCAGCGCCGTTATCCAGTACATGTGTAGGACACGAGGTGGCAGCCACACGAGTTCTTCCCCGACAGCCCCATTGAAAGGGTATGGTACAGCCGCGTGTACGTCTGTGAGACTCGACCCGCTTGCGATTACAAGGGAACTTACATACCCCTCCGTCGGCCGGGATGGCAGGCTAGACAGGCGGTGCCCCAGCCGGTGAACTCCAGCCGATCTTGCACTCAAGGACCGAGGTCTTGCTTGACGTATCACATCAACGTATGCGTCCGCCTGAGTCCGTCCGAAAGGGCCCCTAGACATGCTGACGACTGTCGGGCGTTGCTATAGCCCGCCGTCGGAGGCCGAGACAGTGCAGCAGCGTGGTGGGACGATCACCAGAGCACGCCACAGAGCATGGCGTTGAGGACACATGTGGAGAACTGTCAACGCTCGCAGACTATCGGACAAGCTCAAGCGCACCCCGCAGAATCCGAGCATAGCATTCACTCAGACGACTTCATCGAGCTAACTAAACCACAAAGTGGTCGAGTACTTGTCGAACCTGCTTCATGGAAGCCTCGGGCGGAGAATTGTGTAGTGGCTGTCCCTGCTTGGAAGTTGGTAGCATGGTCGCGGTGATGCGCCACTAAAGCCGGCGGGATGATCGCAACGCGTCAGACATCGTTCCTGCTCATCCACCACCTGTGCGCAGGTCGACTCGGCCCTATCTCCTGGCCCAAATACCCCCTTTCTCTCCTCTTCTCGCGTTCCTTGGCCAGTTATAAATGTGAGTACAGTCGCGTACGCGTGGACCTGTCTGGCCGGCAGGCACGTCGCGGTCGTTGACAGGTGAGCGGGGTGGGAAGATAGGGAAATAAAGAGACCATGTGGGTCTTGGATCGTGCGCGGGGATGGAGGATCTAAACAGGCACTCCCAGGAGCCTGGGAGACCCATTCCGTATAGCATCAGAGAAGGCCAGAAGGCGACATGGCGAAATCGCCGGCGCTGCTTCCATCAGCCATCCCGAGCGGACGGTCGCTCGTCCCGCCGTGCATAAATACCCCGCCCCAGCCCGTTCTGTCTCCCCAGCCTCTGGCCTCTCTGCCTGAGTCCTCGTCAGCATGCGGTCGCTCTCCGTCTGGCTCTCTGTCGCCCTTGCCACTGTGGTCGTCGCCGTCCCGTCCAAGGACGGCGCGCACAAGCTCAAGGAGAGCATCCCCGCGCCTCGCGGTTGGACCAAGTCTGCGCCCGCTCCCGCTGACCACATCATCGAGCTCCGCATCGCGCTTCCTCAGCCGAACTTCGCCGAGCTCGAGCGACACCTCTACGAGGTCAGGTAAGTAATCGACGCGTTATTTCGACGCGTCGTGTTGCTGAAAACGCGTCTAGCGATCCGTTCCACGACCGCTATGGCCAGCACCTCTCCAAGGAGGAGGTCGAGTCTCTGGTTACGCCGGAACCTGAGAGCGTTCACCTCGTGAACGAGTGGCTTGCCTCTCACGGCCTCTACGAGGACAGTCTCTCGCGCTCTCCCGCGAAGGACTGGGTGCTCGTTAAGGTCCCAGTGACCCTTGCCGAGGCTATGCTTAAGACGGTATGCGACGCGTTTTTCCACCATGTCGATCCGTTCTGATTTATTTCCATCTCCCAGGAGTACCACGTCTGGACTCACGACGCGTCCGGGGAGTCTGTGGTCCGCACGACCGAATACAGCGTCCCCGAGCATCTCGACGCCCACGTCGAGCTTGTTCAGCCCACGACCATGTTCTCGCGCATGCGCAGCCTCAAGACCACCTTCCACATCAACGATGTTCAGGAGAAGGTGGCAGCGGCTCCTGCTGCGGCCCCTCCCATCAGCATCCCGTCTGCGTCCGGCGGACATGTTGACGCCAGCTGCAACCAGACCATCACCATCACCTGCTTGCAGCAGCTGTACAACGCAGTTGGTTTCACTCCCTCGACCAAGCACGGCAACGAGATCGGTATCACTGGCTATCTCGAGGAGTTCGCGAACATCCAGGACCTGCAGTCGTTCTACGCGGACCAGCGCCCCGACGCCCTCAACAGCTCGTTCACCACTGTTCTCATCAACGGTGCGCAGTTTTGAACGAAATTTAGGATTGATTTTGTCCTCATCACATTTGCAGGTGGCTTGAACAACCAAACCTTGTCCGAGGCTGGTGGCGAGGCTAACCTCGGTGCGTGGTTATTTATGCACATCCCTCCGAAGACATCGGCTCCTAATGCGGGTGTTATTGGTTGACAGATACGCAGTTTGCCTACGGCCTGACCTTCCCCACCCCTGGTACCTTCTGGTCCACCGGTGGCCGGCCCCCATTCAAGCCCGACACAATCACTACCACGGACACGAACGAGCCTTACACTGAGGTGTGTTTAATGTAACTGTCGAGGAACCGTACTTGTACTGACCTGGATTACGAATAGTGGCTTGACTTCGTTCTCGCTCAGCCTAAGCTCCCTCAGTCGATCTCCACCAGTTACGCCGACGACGAGCAGACCGGTGCGTTTGACACAATTCGCAGCTTCTGTGATGAGGAAGTGCCTGACATTTTTCTGCAGTGCCCGTGAGCTTCGCGAAGCGTGTCTGTGCCGGCTTCGCCCAGCTCGGTGGGTTTTGGGTCTTCATCGTGCCGTGAACTCTGAGCTTATCGTCTACCTTTGTCTAGGTGCTCGCGGAACTTCGTTGATGTTCAGTTCCGGTGATGGCGGTGTCGGTGATGGCGAGGAGGACCCCGCGCTCCAGGAGTGCTTCACCAACGACGGCCGCAACGCTACACGCTTCGTCCCCCTCTTCCCGCCCTCTTGCCCCTTGTCAGTTTATTCGCTCTCCATCAAGCCATTGAGTGTGCCGCTGACACATTTCCGTGAACAGCGTTACCGCTGTCGGCGGTACTATCCACGTCCCTGAAACCGCCGTGTTCTTCTCAGGCGGTGGATTCAGCGATCTCGTACGTCCTGTTTTCATCTACGGAGGTTTTCTAGAAATAACTTGTATGCCCGCAGTTCCCCCGTCCGGCGTACCAGGAGCTTGCAGTATCGAAGTTCCTGAAGACCCTCGCTCCCGGAACCTACAAGGGTCTCTTCAACCCCAACGGCCGCGTACGTGCGCGCGCTTCCATGCTCTCTATACCATACTAACGCCCCACATCAGGCCATCCCCGACGTCGCCGCGCAGGCAGACCTCTTCCGTGTCTTCCTCTCTGGACGGCCCGTGTCTATCGGAGGCACCTCCGCCGCCGCGCCGACGTTCACCGGCATCGTCTCTCTCCTGAACGCGGCCCGCCTCGAGAAGGGCCTGCCCCCGCTCGGGTTCCTGAACCCGCTCGTGTACGCCATCCAGGCACTCGACCCCACCGCGTTCAACGACATCACCGTCGGCAACAACCCGGGCTGCGGCACGCCGGGCTTCAACGTGAGTGCTTTACCCACCTTGCTCCGAGATGAAGAGCAGAGACTGACGGGTCGGGGCGGCACAGGCGACGAAGGGCTGGGACCCCATCACGGGTGTCGGCACGCCCAACTTTGGGAAGCTGAAGGATATTGTGACGCTCGACTTCTTGCACATCCCGGGCCTGTGAGGAGGGAATGCATGCATTTACGTCGAGAATGTAGCTGTTGTAGGAAAGAAATATACCACTGAACACCAGTCGTGACGCGTGGGCGTGTTCATTTCTGCCCTCGAAGGTGTACACCGGGCTGGATAGATGAGCTGGTGCATTGAACCTGGCCCAGACAACGTGGTTAAAGCACTGGGTCCGTACGAGAGCCGTCCCACTGCCGTCCCCCATCACCGCGGCCATACTCACCCGCGAGGTGAGCAATATGCAAAAGCGCGCTGATGAGGCACTTCCTGAGGATGTAACAAACAGTGGCAGAGGGCGGTACAAGACACAATCCCCTCGCCTTTTACTAGGGGATTCCGTGTGTCGTCCTCACATCAATGCCACCTAACGAATTTTTCAGAACACATGAACCTCTGGTTCATCGCGAAGTTGATTTTTGCATGTTCCGACCGCGGAACGTGTTGTGCCCTGTTCGCGAAGGCCGTTCTTAATTAATGAAGCTCGGGGCCGCAGCTAGTATGTCATGAGAGCTTCAACGAGGCGCACTGGCCTTTTTGGGCTTGCGCGGAAATGAGTCCGCGCAGCCCGACCCACGGCTCAGTACATTGTACGTCTTCACTCCCACCTCCTCGCGTACCGGCTTCATCACTACTTTCCCTTACACAACCATCTCGCTTTGTTATCTATTGACTCTCGACATTGTACACACCTGGGGGACACGCCGTTACAACCTGCACTGGGCTCTTCTCCAATCTCCGAGAAACGCGAGCAACGGTTTGCATGCTCCTTCATAACCCCGCGCTCCGCACCCGACTGTTCTGCATTCTTTATACCCCACTCGCTGCTGGCAGCTCTAGTCGGCATTGACGTGTCTTTGACTAGCTATGTCACTCGACTCTCGACCGCTGTCCCCGGACTCCCGGCTCGCCAGCAGCCTGCACCGCGCTACCGCCACTATCGACGACCTCACTCATACATTGAGCAGTGTATCCCGTTTGTCTTCGCCTGAACCTGAGAACGCCAGCACATGCTGCTGTGGGCGGGAGGACTGCGAGACTAGTCAGGCGTGGACGGCGTTCAAGGCTAAACTCGAGAGCCGGCTGATTCTTAGCGCAGGTATGTATTGGGGTCAGGTCCGGACATTGTATCCGCTCATGGCGAGCCGCTTGAAGAGGTCGGGCGGGCGTTGCTAGAAAGGCACGAGGCGTTAGTACGCAGACACAATGTGAGTGTATCAAGCACCTTAGCACTACTCTCCTTTCCCTTGCTCATGGCGCGGACATTGTCATGCCCATTGTCAGTCTCTACCAGTTTCCGCCAGCGGCAGCAATGATACGATAGGACCAGACTCCCCCGTAGACGTCCGAGTGGGAGAACTTGTCAAGCAGGTGCGTCGAACAGCTCTGTTTGTCGTAAGTCCGACTAAGCGTTTTTGTCACAGAATGTGCTCTTGGAGAAGGTACATATGCGTAATGCTACGCACCCGGGACACAGCTAAGTGATAGTGTCCATAGCGTCTCACCCAGGCTCTTGTACATACCGAGGTATGCGAGTCCTCCAAGAAGGGTCTTATCCAAGATCTCGACACAGCAAGGACCGACCTCGCCCGTCTCAGTGCACAGAACGCTCGTTCAGTTGGGCTGGAGAACCGGCTAGCAACCACTCTTCAAGAGAAGGACGACCTTCAGCAGGAGCTCGATAGTGCCACTCAAAGAGCTAGGATGGCGGAAGTTCGGCTTGTCTCGTACAGGGAGAAGTGTAGTGAGTCCACATCCACCCCACCGTTATTCTCTTAGACCAACGGTTGCGTTTCAGCGAAACTGCAGGCACAGGTCACTCGATTGAGGGACGAGGCGGATAATCAAAGAACTCACAGACATGAGTTCTCGGAAGAGATTCTGACTGATGCTCGACAACGCCTGGAACAACTCCAGTATCACGTACGTTCATTCCTCCAAGCATTTGTATGCTGTAGTGCCTAACTTCTGATTTTATAGCAGCTGGGGCACTCCTCGTCAATCCAGGACGCTGAGGTCACGAAGGTCCTCGAGTCGCTGGTAGCAGATAATGAGGCTCTGAAGCGTGATAATGCCGAGCTTCAGAATCTGCTATCCGCCACGAGAGAGGACTTCCACGAGCTTCAGGAAGAACTTGAGGAGCGTCGGGCTAGCGATACCCCTTTCGCTCGCACACACCGATACACTCAGAGCGGCAGTTCCTTCCGGTCCCGCGAGCCAACTACTCCCCTTTCTCCTACATTCAACGTTGGAACAGCTCCGACGACTTCTGTGTTGCGTTCGAGACTCGGGGATGAGAAGATGGCTCCGCCCCGTTCACAAAGCACGGAACGCTCAGCGAGGAGGGCCTTTGTACGCAAGATCATTTTCTAACTGTTGCATAATTGACTGATCGTCGTTTGTAGGAACCTATGACGCCAGAGACCGATCGACGACCGTGGTCTCCCGCAGACTCACACATCGCTGCAGGGTCTAAGTGGACGTCATTCGCGCACCCGAGGTCGAATTATCCCCCCTCTCACCTCAGCTCTGAGATTGAAGAAAGCGAGGCCGGCCCTATGTCACCGGAGCGTCCCCGCGCCCAGAAGTCGTTGTTCCTTCTAACGCGTTCCCGCGGCGTTCAAACGGATCTCACTTGGCACGGCACTTCTGCCTCGTCTGCGCTGTCCCCTTCCCCTATTCCCCGAAGTATCGCTGATTCTATGTCGTCTCCACACGACGGCCAGTCCGAGTCTTCGTCGCTGACCGATGGACAGTCTGCAATCGGGGCACTCGTCGAGCGGACAACTCTCTTGCTCAACAGGATCGCACAGGCTGATGCTCTCACCCTCACCAACCGTCTGAAGCGGCAGCACCTTTCAGGTGCCGATGTCAGCCATCTCTCCCGCAGCACGGTCAACGCCATCCTGGGTGAGGCTACCGCCCTCCGTGCTCATTTCCGTCCGTTCCTCGAAGATGAGAAGATTACCACCACATGCACTCGTCGCGACCTCCGAGGACTTCTGAAGGTGATCAAGGACGTCTTCACCGAGCTCGGCGAACTTCGCGTGACGCTCAACGACGTCATCCTCGACCCTACCATCGCGGGGAAGGTCAGCGAGGCGGCAATGAACCCATCGAAGGCCAACGCCGCCGCCACGACTTCCCGCGACACCCCTGGCGGCGCTGCTGCACCTTCTTGGATCACTCCCCTCTCCAAACTTCTCGGCATGCAGAACAACGCGAGTAGTCCAGGGAGGAGTTCAACGTCTCGTGCGCTCTCTCCACCAGTGCGCAGCGGCACCATCGGCCGAGGCCGCCCTCCTGCCCGCGTCGTCCCGAAACGTGAAGCGGCATTAGCTGCTTCTGCGATGACGGTGAACGTCGAGTTCAGCGGTACCGCAGTCGGCCGTGCGGTGACCAGCACGTACTCCGCGCATCCAGGCCGGGAGGGCGACTTCAGCACGCTCGCCACCCCGAGCACCGCCGCGACCACGCCCGCTATAGCTCAGCCGGAGCCTAGACGGGATGTCTCCAGGAGCGTCATGAACATCTTCGCCGGAGCTCCGCGCCCCGCAGAAGGTGATCCATGGGTCGTCATCCCGAGGACTCAGAAGGTCGTCAGCAGGATGGCGAGCATGGCGGCAATGAACTCCGGCGGACCGACGATAGGTCGCTCAGCCCTTCGACATGCTGCCTCTGGCAAGCGGCTGTCGCGCATCGTCGACGCTGTCATCGACTCCCCGCAGCCCAACGGAGACCGTTCCGAACCGGAGGACGACAGCAACGATGGGCCTCCACCCGCCTTGGGCCGAGCGCTTCGGCGAGGCCTCTCAGACTCGTCCATCCGCACTACATTCACGCAGCACGGGGAGGACGCGGAACAAGATGCGGGCACTGCACCGGACTCTTCCCAGCGACCTGATCGGGAGTCTGTTCTGCAAGCACTGTCTCGCAGGATGCAGAGCTTCCGCTTCGCTTCCACTGCCACCCCGCCCGCGCTTCCCAGTGCGACCGCAAGGGGCTCTTCGTCCTCGCGACCGCAGACTCCGGTCTCGCGACACTCCGCCAAGGCGAACGAGGCGAACAGCAACAACACGCCCCGCTCGTCGCCTCCGCGGCCCATACCCCAGGCAAGGAGCACTCTGCCATTCGGACTATCTACGTGGACCGCTGCGTACGAGGCTGAGGCGGAGACGGACCCTAGCATGGGCGCGTCCTACTTCGGTGGAAGTCCGAGGGAGGAGGCATTCGCTCAGCGGAGCTGGGCGCGTGAGCGCGACTTCTAGAGATGGACTCGGGTGGCTGCATGGATGAAGAGACTGTTTGGATTATAGGAAGTTGACCACCGCATTGTATATCGAGGTGTAAATTATCGCACTCCTTTGGGTATCGTAGCTCACAGCCTAATGCTATACCACGTTCGCTCACCGTATCCGAACCGTTTATGATACCACCGCTCCTGGCTATGTAACATTGGTCGCAGTACGACCAGCTGCAGCCGAGGCAAGGTGAGATGGCCTGCAGCTTCTCGGCGCTAATCTTACCCCAGGCGCCTCCCCGGCTTGGACGCCGACCGTCATGTCTGTGCTCTTCGAAACCTCTCTGGGCGACATTGTCATAGATCTGGAGACAGAACTATGCCCGAAAACATGCGAGAACTTTTTGAAGCTCTGTAAAGTGTACTATTACAACCTCAACGCGTTCTTCAATGGTAGGCGCATACACTTAGCTGCTCTCGTGTTTCCATTCCTGAACGCCGACCGTTGCAGTCTCGAAGGACTTCCTCGCACAGGTCGGTGACCCCACAGCTACTGGTACTGGAGGGGAGTCGATCTGGTCCTTGATAGCCTCGCAAGGCGGCAAAGACGCACCGCGGTACTTCACGCCAGAGTTCATACCGCGCCTCAAGCATCGGCAGCGGGGAACCGTGTCTATGGCCGTCGCGCCTGCGGTCGCCGAGGAGCATAGGGGCGGCTGCGGAAGCCAGTTCTTCATCACGATAGGCGAGAATATCGAATATCTGGACGGCAAGCACGCGGTGTTCGGGCATGTCGTGGAGGGCTTCGAGACCTTGGACAAGCTCAACGACGTGTTCGTGGACCAGGACGGGAGGCCGTTGAAGGACGTTCGGATACGGCATGTGGAGATTCTGGGTGAGTGAGTACCGTTTTGCCCCTCACCTGGTTGTTCATGTTGTCGCAGAGGACCCGTTTGAAGACCCTCCTGGCCTCAGGGTACCAGACGCCCCTCCTACAAGTCCTCCCGATAACTCGACACGTATCGCAGAAGACGAAGACCCACTAGAGACACTTCCCGAGGAAGAGGCGGAAGAAATCCGACGCAAGAAGGCGGCACAGGCATCCGCTCTGACTCTTGAGATGGTCGGCGACCTGCCCTTTGCGAATGTCCGCCCACCAGAGAACGTGTTGTTTGTCTGCAAGCTGAACCCCGTGACGCGAGACGAGGACCTGGAGCTCATTTTCTCCCGTTTCGGGACCATCATAAGCTGTCAGGTCATTCGGGACAAGAAGACGGGGGACTCGTTACAGTATGCGTTCATTGAGTTCGACAAGAGGGAGGAGGCGGAGCAAGTAAGCCGCTATAAGACCATTTGCGGGAGTAATCGTACCTAATGTCAATTTGCAGGCATACTTCAAGATGCAAAACGTGCTCGTAGACGACCGTCGAATCTGGGTAGACTTGTCAGTGGCGGATATACTTATTACTCAGCTTCTGCTGACCGTTCATCAGCTCGCAATCTGTCGCTCGCATGAACACCCATTGGTCAAATGACGTGAAGATGGGACAACGAGGCTCTGGTGGCCGGGGGAGGGGCGGGTTCGCTGGTCGTGAAGACCTCGAAGCCACTCGACGATACAGAGGACAAACACAAGCACAGGAGCGTGGTAAAGACTACGGGTTGGTGTTCGACGTCCCTGGTGACGGCCGACGAAAACGCAAAAGCCGCAGCCGCAGCCCACGCCGGCAGGATCATCCTAAGGAACGATTACGGCGTTCGCCATCGCCCCGGTCACGACATCGCGACCTTGACGCCTCCCACGAGAGGCGCAGGAGCAGGAGCCGCGAAAGGCGACCAAGAGACCATTACGATCGAAGGCGTTAAGTTGGCATTGCTACCCGTTTAGAGTTCGTTCAGCCGGAGTGCAGTGTTTCATCACGGGTGAGTGTTGTTCTCCTTTCGAGGCGATATATGTTGACCACAGATGCCCTGTGGGTTTCATTCTGGCCCGGCAGCTGCGTGATCGATATGGTAGCCTCTCACTGCCAGCCGCTTCTCGCTTCCGTCCCGCTATAAGTACTTACTCCGTGCTGCCTCAGTTCTATATCCCACTTCCCGCTTGCCACCCACCATGTACTCTCCAGTGTTCAACTATCTTGACGGTGACTTCATCCTGCGCTCCGATTGTCCCTACGATGATAAACTCGTCTGCTCTTCGAAATCGGTGGACTTCCGCATCCACCACTGCATTCTGTCAGCCGCATCCCAACTCTTCGAGGGGATGCTGTCCCTCCCACAACCAGAGTCCGCCAGCGACACCATAATCCCCATCATACCGTTCCCGGAGCCGGCCTCGGTCCTGGAGACCCTCCTACGCTATATCTACCCAGTGGAGGCTCCAGTGATTCGAAGCTTGGAGCAGCTCGCCCCCGCGCTCGAGGCCGCCCGGAAGTACGACTTCGCGGTTGCCATCGAAGGCCTTCGTCGCCGCCTTATTGCGCCCGAGTTCTTGGAAGCATATCCGCTCCGAGTCTACGGGCTTGCCACCCAATACGAGCTCGCCGAAGAAGCTGCGATCGCGTCCAGAGCGCTGCTGAACACCCCACTCTCCGCCCAAGAGCCACATGAAGACCTGAAGCACATCACCGCGTACGACTACCACCGACTCGTCGTCCTCCGCGAGATGCGCGCCCGTGCTGCGATCGCGCTCCTCACGCCTCCTCGCGATTTGAAGTGCATGCAGTGCAACGGGCGGTGGGACAAGGCGCGCGAGCCGCCACGGTGGTGGGCGGACTACCGAGAGCGGGCGAAGGAGGAGCTGCGCGTGCGGCCGACGTCCGCCGTCATCTTCACGCTACCATTCCTGCAGCAATCAGCCCAGGTGGGGTGTACGGGTTGTGCGGCGAGCATCCTGTGTTCGTCGTGGTTCTTCGCGCAGCTTCGACAGAACATAGACGACCTTCCCGCGACCATCTAGTTTCGATGTTACTATACTCGCGACAAACTACTGTAGTTGGCTGTATGCCGGACAGATATCTATCACGACCATCAGGTTAAACATTGTACCGCCGTCCCTTAGCTTTCCTATACAATCTACCGCCCCGGTGTTATCTCGATTGACTTGCTATGGGTGGACTGATGATCCGGAATGGATGAGCGTGACTCCAGCGTCGAGCGAAAGGTCCGATCGACCAACAAGCTTCAAGCTCTAGGTGTCCCAGGTCTGCTCTCACCACAACACCCACTATGGCATCCTTCACTCCCCAGCTTGCAACCTTCAAGGCCCCCGCCATCGACAATGAGCCGATGGTGAGCGTCTCACCACTGAACGGTCCAGATCTCTGCAGGACTGATCGTAAAATCGGTGGACGCGTCGATGTAGAGGAGTTATGCCCCCGGCTCACCTGAACGCAAAGCCCTGGTCGAGGCGGTCGCTCAGATGGAGAAGGAGCTCCCCTTCGAGGTTCCCTGCGTGATCAACGGAAAGGAGGTACGTCTGTCGATGTGTCGATCTCCGCGCGCTGATCACGAATGAATTGTTCCCCGCGTCACAGGTCAAGACGGGCAAGCTCGCAAAGCAGCCCATGCCCGCCACCCATGCCAAGCACCTCTGCACGTACCACGAAGCTGACCAGGCGACCGTCGCGAGCGCGATCGAGGGCGCGCTCGCTGCGAAGACTGAGTGGGAGGCGATGCCTTGGAACGACCGCGCGGCGATCTTCTTGAAGGCGGCGGACCTTGTGAGCGGGAAGTACCGTTACAAGCTCATGGCGGCGACTATGCTCGGTCAGGGCAAGAACGCATGGCAGGCGGAGATTGACGCAGCGGCTGAGGTGAGTTTGTCGAGGAAAGCAGTCAAGATCGAGAGGCTAGATGTGTTTGGTACAGCTCGCGGACTTTTTCCGCTTCGGCGTGAAGTACGTCGAGGAGTTGTACTCGCAGCAACCCGTCAAAAACGCAGCCGGCAGCTGGAAGTGAGCCTTGTCCTCCGCCACCGCTTAAATGCTGCTCACGGGTAGATAATCTAGCCGAGTCGAGTACCGCGCGCTTGAGGGCTTCGTCCTAGCTGTCTCGCCCTTTAACTTCACCGCCATTGGCGGAAACCTCCCCGGAAGTGAGTACATGCCCCCAGACTCGCGAGCGACCATTCTCTGACCCACATACAGCCCCCGCGCTCGTCGGCAATGTCGTCGTCTGGAAGCCCTCACCCGCGGCCACTTACTCCAACTATATCATCCACCAGATCCTCACAGAAGCCGGCCTTCCCGCGGGTGTCATCCAGTTTGTTCCCGGTCCTCCTGAGGAGGTCGTCGGCCAGGCGATCGCGCACCCATCTTTCGCGAGCCTGCACTTCACCGGCAGCACCTTCATCTTCAAGAAGCTCTGGAAGGACATCGCGGCCAACCTCGACAACTACAAGGGTTACCCGCGTATCGTCGGCGAGACTGGTAAGTTGAAGCCATGGAAGCCGCTACGTTTGATTTTTAATGATGATTCATAGGCGGAAAGAACTTCCACCTCGTTCACCCGTCGGCCGAGATTAAAAATGCCGTCAACCAGACCGTCCGTGGCGCATTCGAGTACCAGGGCGAGTGAAGATCCCCGACATTCCATATGCTACAGCTGACCGTAATAATCCACAGGCCAGAAGTGCTCTGCCCTGTCTCGTCTGTATGTCGCATCCTCGATCTGGAACAACGGTTTCAAGGAGCAGCTCCTGAACGAGGTCGCGAAGCTCAAGGTCGGCCCTTGCACCGACTTCACAAACTTCATCGGACCCGTTATGTAAGGAGAATCAACCTATCGCGCCTCCAATATTCTGACGATCGCGTGTAGTGGCCGCCCTGCCTTCGACAAGATCACTGGCTACATCCAGAAGGCGAGGGATGCAGGCAGTGAGATCATTGCGGGTGGCAGCGGTACGTCTTGCGAGTGTGCCTGAGGGACCGTTGTTCTGACTCAGGTTTGCAGCGGACGACTCCACTGGATACTTTGTGCAGCCTACCGTCATCCTGACCAAGGACCCGAAGTCTATCACGATGGTTGAGGAGATCTTCGGCCCCGTCCTGACGGTATGATTTACTGAATGAAACATACTTACCGTCGCTGACACACGCCGCTCTAGGTCTTCGTGTACGAGGACGCTGACTACGAGAAGACCCTCGAGCTGATCGACACTACGACTACCTACGCGCTCACTGGCTCCATGTACGTCTGCATCATCAAAAATTGTCCATGTCGCTCGTCTAACCCAACCCTCTCACTAGCTTCGCGTCGGACCGCAAGGCTCTTGTACACGCGACGAACCGCCTGCGCAACTCCGCCGGCAACGTGTACTACAACGAGAAGTGCACGGGCGCAGTCGTCGGCCAGCAGCCGTTCGGTGGCGCGCGGGGCAGCGGCACGAACGACAAGGCGGGCAGCATCTCGATCTTCTACCGTTTCGTGTCCGCGCGGAGCATCAAGGAGAACTTCGTCGGGCTCGAGGACTTCTCGTACCCGTCGAACCTTGCTTGAGCGGGCCGCGGAGCAGATATAGACGAGAAGCGAAGGAAAGAAAGTGTGTGAAGTATTGTTGACCACTGTATCGCTACGCATCGGGCTTTGGGTGCCACGTACAACAGGAATTGAATGTGTTACATCGCTACAGTACGGAATGTCCGGGGAGACAGAGTGAAATGTGTCCTGCATGGATAGGTACATAGGAATAATATGTCTGGTGTGAGGTGAGTGACCCGCGCCCCCTGGGCAAATCAACTCGCTCACGATTATGTGCAGTAATATCATAAGTAGCCAGGTCCGTAGTCCTCGCGAATTTATGCCTTGACCATCGCGGGGGCGCTGCCAACATCCAGCTTCAACTACAAATCCAAAACCCAGTCAGCTCACACATACCTCTGTTCATACACTACTACTCACCTTCGCCACAGCGCTATCAACACCCTCCCCCAGCCCCTCCGCATACTCCCTAAACCCCGGCAAGAAATTCGCGCGACAGCACTCACACTCCGCCGCGCGCGCGACCGCGCTGCGCCACAGCCCGCGGTCGAGCGCCGCGCCCGCCCCGTGCGGCCGGTTGCGCACGACGAGCGCGAGCTTGTACACGTACATGAGCCACCAGCGCGGCGCACTTGTGCTCCGGAAGTGCGCCCACGCGTCCGCGCTGCGCTCGTCGAGGAACACGTGGCACGTGCTGCCGCGCTTTTTGGAGGGCGCGCAGGCGCGCAGGGCGTGTGCGGGGGAGGGGGTGGGGGCGGCGGGGACGGAGCGGTGCGAGCAGTCGCGGTGGTGTGCGGATGGGGCGGAGGCTGGGGTGGAAGTGGAAGTGGGGGCAGGGGTGTCGATGGCGCCTGAGGAGTTGGCTCGGCGGTGGGTGCGGGTGGGGTTCGGGCTGGTCCCGGGCGAGGAGGGGGTCGCCCCAGAGTAGGACAGCGCGTGGGCGAGGACGAACGCGGAGGCGGCCTGGCCGCACTGGTCGTGGTACACGAGCAGCCGGAAGTAGTCCGCGGCGGGGATCTCCTCGAGCTCCTCGACGTAGCGGTGGCGCAGCTCCTGGTAGGACACGCGGAGGAGCGCGCGGGCGGCCGCGGCGCGCACGTCGGGCATGTTGAAGCGGTGCGCGAGGGCGAAGACGCGGAGGGCTGAGGTGGGGAGGTGGGTTTGGAGCGCGGTGCGGAGGTCGGCGAGGAGCGAGATGAGTGAGTATTTGTGGGCGGCGGTGAGGAGAGATTTGAGTGCGGGGAAGGAGGGAGGGGGCGGTCGCGGGAGGGGGTAGATGTGCCGTAGGAGTGCGGCGAGTGTTGCGCTGTCCTCTGAGACGAAGATGATACCGAGGCAGGTGTTGCCCTTGTCTGGAGGATCGTACGTACGCTCCGCGTGGCGATCCTCAAGCATCCTTCGAAATACCGGCGATGCAAGGGAGAGTAGTGGGGCGTGCAGCCGAAAGTCGACAGCATCTGAAGTGCGGAAGATCACGTCCGCGGTGGGCGAGTTGAGTAGCTCCTGCGGGACAGCCTCCACGTTCTCGCCGTGGACGTGCGTAGGGGTGAACGTCGGCTTCGGACTCGGCGGCGGCGGCAGGATAGACGTAGCAATGGAGACGGGGCGCGCCTTCTTCGAGCTTCCGCTAGCGTGCTTCGGACTAGTGCACTTGGCCATGTAGTGCGAAACGCGGTAGTACACGCCCGCGGAGATGTCTTTCAGTTCGTCGACAAAGGCGCAGTGCGCAGTGTACGCTAGCGGAACCAGCGACTCCGCTTCAGGGGTGAGGTCAAGTGCGCACGCGATGGCGAAGGCGCGGAGCGGCTGGGAGTGGCCGAGCTTGACGAGGCGGGCGCGGAGGAGCGACGTTGCTTCTTCCATCATGTATTTCATCGCGGCCTCGAGAACGGGCCGCAGCTCGTCGAGGGAGTTGAACTCCGGGTCGTCGATGGGGTAGCATAGTCGGAGAAGCTTGTCAAGCGCCTGGCTGCCCTCGGTCAGATGGATGACGGGGAGTCCGTCCTTGGTGTCTTCGTCGTCGAGCGCACCGGGAGGGGGTTGGGGAATGCTGAGCATGTCCTCGAAAATGCACGAAGCTTCTGCGAGTATGCTCCTGCGCACCCAGAAGTCGATATTGTCGGACGAGCGGAGGATGGCGTCTGCAGCCGCCTTGTTGAACGGGTATGCAGCGTTCATGGTCTTTGTGGTCTTCCCGGGCGTCGTGGACGACGAGGGCGACGCTGGGGCGGGTGGTGTGGGCAGAGCAAGGGCAGGCATGGGGGTGAGGAGAGAAAGGCGAAGACATTGAGTGCGATGGAGGTGTTATGAGGCCGGAGGTGGCTGTCCCAGGGGATGGAATGCAGATCGAGCTTATCCTCCGAGACAAAGTACAGGAGACAGTCGCGTCTACAAAGCCTCTAGAGCCACAACCGCGTTCCTCCCCGCACGTGACCGCGACTCATTAATCATCGTCACCTCTGCCGGCGCCTATCTGCCTCTGCAAGTTGTCTGTGCACCTGGATGAGCTCTGCAGCAAGCCGCTCCGTTCTACGCTTTCCCTCGAGTACCCGCCCTTCCGCATGTCTTCCGCCCACACCGCGAAACGTCCGCAATGTATCGACGCACGACAACTCCGCCAGCTCCAAGCTCTTCGAGGATGCTGCTCGCGAGGAGGCTGAGGAGCAGCAAGCAGCAGCACACAAATCGTCCAAGCTCTCAGCATTAGAGAGTCAGCAGGAGAACTGGGACGGCGATGAGCCGATTCAGCATGCTGTCTTGCGCATGCTTGTCGACAAGTACAAACCTATGCGTTCCGGCCCTATCAGGTCGGCCGAGGAAAAGCTCAAGACTGCCCCGCCTCAGGTGCGCACACCCGACGCACCCGCAAATGCACAACTACAGGACACTGCGGCGAATGCTGCGAACGCGGAAGCAGCGAGCATGCCAGCTGTGGAAGCAGTACCCGTCCGCCGCTACGTTCCCGGAGAACCTATCCTCCCCGGCATAGAGGGACATATGCCTTGGCACACTACATTCAAGGTCCCCTCCCATGCTACCTCCAATATCCGCTACGGCAATATCCAGCGCCCGCCTCCGCGCTCGGCGCGACAGACTGGCCCTCTCCCCGTGGACGAGAAGGCGAAGCGGAAGGAGCGGGAAACGAAGAAACGTATGGAGCAGGGCACCAGGCTCTCCCAGGCCCGGGAGTCCACCATCGACTATCGGCTGGGGATCAAGGGGGCTGCTGCTGAGCAGCTGAGGCGGCCAAATCCTGTATCCTTGAAAGGATGGGCGAACCTGGTGGAGGAGCGAATAGAGGTGCGTTGCGCAGGGGCATACATGTATGCATAGCAGCTCTAAATAATCATTGCAGAAAGCTCGTCAGGCCGGACATTTCAAGACCGTGAAGGGCCGTGGACAACCTATTGCACGCCTCTCGGAGGACAAGAATCCGTTTATTGGCCGTGAAGAGTTCCTCATGAACAGGATCGTACAGCGACAGGGGGCGGCTCCGCCCTGGGTAGAGATTCAAGGCGGTGCGTTTCACGCCTGCCCCATGTTTGCTCTTCCGAACTCACGCTCATCACAGAGCTCGAGACGGCCGCAGCCGCCTTCCGCGAGGTAGTCAAACAATCCTGGACGCGGCGCGCCCTGCGCTCCATAACCGCCGCCCACCCCGCCGCGCTCCTCCCGCGCCTCACGCTCGCGGACGTCGCCGCGCTGCGCGACCCCGAGTGGGAGGCGCGCGAGCGCGGGTACCACGACAGCGCGCTCGCGGAGCTCAACGCGCTTGTGCGCAAGTACAACGGGCTTGCGCCGTACGCGGTGCGCCGGCCGTACTATATGCGCGCGGTCGAGCTCGAGCGGGTGTATGCGGAGGCGGGGGAGGATATTTTAAGGGGCCTGGAGGAGAGGGCGAGGGGGGTGGGGCCGAGGAGGCCGGCGTATACGCTGTCGGAGGATGAGCAGGGAGGGGGTGGGGCTGGAGCTGGGAGAGGGTCTGCGGTCGACTGGGGAGGCCTCAAGTTGCGGGATATGTTCCGGGATTTGGTGGGTGCATTCCGCGGACGAAGTTGACTGAATACCTGCATTCCTGCGGTAAGTTGCTGGCCTTCGCCCACCTATAGATCCTCCCTCCTTTTCGCTCCCTTCTTGAGGCGATACTCCACGCCGTGCGTAATCCCCCCACTCACCATTTCTGCTTAGAGTGCATCACACCCTCCTGTACACTAGATCAGCTCCCGCTGACGCGTGTAAACTAGCTGTATCTCTAACGCTTCCATCGCCCCAGCCCACGCAGACATCGCGTGGCCTGCTGTCACTTCCACAACGTGTCTTCGACGTCGATCACAGCGGTGCTACGAACACCTTGCCCTCGGACCACAGCCCAATCGTCCGCGTCCCTACTGGCGGCGAGCTGCGATCGTGCACATCGCCCGCGATGCTGCAGGCCGCGCCGCCTCCTGGTGTCCAGCTGAGCGCTGATGCCGCGCGATTTCGGTGCGTGCTCTGACGGAATTCCGTGCGCAAAAGACGCCGCTATAGCCTCTCGTGCTCGCGCATGTCCTCGTCTGACCAGCGGTCGTCGTCCGGTGACATCCGGTACTCACGATGGGGGAATAGACAATACACCCGAAGCACAACAACCATTTGCGCGCATGGCGCCTCTGGTCGACGGCGTTGTGCACGCCTGGCCAGACAGTCTGGGAAGCCCTCTCCCAAGGTTCGCGCCGCCAAGCCGCACCGTCACCGTCGTCGCCGCCGAAATGAACGTTGTAGTCGACGACGGCCGACGACCGCGTAGCGCTGCGCAAATATTTGTGCACGCCGCGGGTCCGTGCACGAACAATGGCACCAGCAGGAACGGGGGCGCGCGAGGGAGCGGGGCTGGGTGACGAGCCAGGGACGGGGGGCGCCTCATGGCTGCCTCGCGCGTGCGGGCACCCCCCGAAGCGAAGCGAGCCCGCGCGCCCGGGCATCTAATCTATAAAAACCGGGGGGAATGCGTTTTTCTCCCCCTCCACTGCTCTCAGCGTCCTCGTCCTCGTCTCCGCCCCCGCCGACCTCCCTCAAGCCGTCGCCGTCGTTCAAGCCGACCTCGTCCAGCCCTACAGCAGACCAGCATCAGCAAGCAGGCGTCCTCCGTAGCGCCCGTTATTGTCCTCTCGCGCTCCCCCATCTTCAAGTCCAGCAAGTGTACCCTCGTCCTCTCCTACTACCATGTCTTCCTACGTCAGCTCTGAGGAGATTGTTGTACGTATCTGATCCTTTACCTGGCTTTGTATTGCGCCCACGCACTGTTGCTGCGTGGGACATCATTGGGCGACCGTAACTGACTTGCGCTGCCCAGCCCGGCGACATCGTCGCAGTTACCGCTCCTGGTGGCAGGCGTGAAGGCCTCGTCGTTGGATCCCACCTCGACTATGCCGTACGTCCCCCTACACTCACATACTTCACAGCGCGATTTTTCTGACCCGATTCCGTGCGTGCAGGGCAGGCAAGTCGTCGAGGTCCGGCTCGACGGTGGCGAGATCTACAACGCATGGTACGTGTCCATCCCCTACAATTCCCCGCTATCCCATGCACCTTGTTCTATATCACATTCGAGAGCCATCTTCCCCCGCCGCCCAGTCGTTCTTCTAGTTTCTAGTGGGAGAGATCACGGTGGCTGATGACGTCTTTTCCCTCGTGCAGGTACCCGAGCTTGACGCGCGTACGCCGGACGATCGAGTACACCCGTCCCTCGCCCCAGCACAAGCGTACCATCGAGCGCACCATCTACTGGTGATCGCCCCCTCTGCTACACGGATACTTTCTGGCCCCCGACTCGACTCGACACTCTGGACACTCTGGACGCGCGCGTTCCCGCGTGCGCGAATACCTGCCCTGCTGCTCCGCGACTGCCGACCATCCCGCACAGGCGCGGATGCGCTGCGGCCGCCCCGCCCCCACATACCTAGCCCGTACCTGCCCGTGTATAGTTGTGACATAGGACGCGGTGTACGCTGGTCTCCCCCTGGTTGGATTCTCCTGCTTCTGCTTGGTTACCCCCGCTGCTATATGTATGTAGATAGATACGCATCCCATCGTTTGTGCCCCTTCCCGCGGCGTGTCGTCTCGTTCTATATCCCCTTCCCGCGTGTCTGAACTATGTGGCGTCGATCTGCTTCCCTGGGACGGAGGACCATGTATGTATCTACACAAACTCAAAGTTATTCAGCCGTCTGCCAACACACATACCTCTGAGTGATTTTTGATGCTTCGATGTGAACACGAACAGTGGAGACATTCAAAGTCTCGTGTATTCCGGCCAAGTTGAATACATATTGCGGATGGAGAGGGGTGTAATGAACAACGCGGGTGTAGTGAATGATGGGTAGTATAGTGTGTGGGGGGTGTCGCATAGGATAGACTAAACCAATAAGTGTAGAGCAGCAGCAGAGCAAATGGACGGCGCAAGCAGCAGGGGACCTACGCGCGCAGCGACGTGGGCGGGGCCGCCTGCCCGGACGCGACGGTGGGGTGCGCATCCCCCTGCGTCTGCGAGATCGACCGCCGGCTCTTCCGCAGCCGCCCGGACTTGCTCGACGGCGTCGGCGACAGCGGCGGGCGCTGTGGCGAGATCGGTGCCGCCGCGCCACCATTCGGAGGCGTGTGTGGACGCGAGTGCGAGATGGAACGGTGGTGGTGGGGGCGTCCGTTCGGCACCGGGGTCGTGGAGGAGGGCGCGATCGCGGGCTCGCCGTTCGGGGCGGAGGGGTGATGGCTGTGCTTCGAGGTCGTGGTGGCGGTCGTGCTCGAGCTCTCCGTGCGCATCATGGGGGGCGCGCTGGGCCTTCGGTGCGCGGACGTCCGTCGCACGACGCGTGGGTCGATGACCTTGCCCCTGTCGTCGTCCCGCCGCTCCCTGCTCTCCCTCCGCCGCGCCACGTCCCCATTCCCGTTCGGCCTGCTGCTGCTCTCCCTCCGCACGAGCTCCGAGCGCCCGTTGGCAGCAGGAGAAGGCGCAGGGGTGGGAGCGCGGGACGCGGACCGCGTGCGCGCCTCTTCCGCCTCCGCCTTGACTTTCACGGTCTCCTCGGAGCCGCGGGGCGAGCCCGTGTACGGCGACGCGCGCGGCTGCTGCACGCGCTCGTAGTAGAGCATGAACGCACCCGAGCCTTCCTGCAGCACGCGCTCGAGCCCGCACTCCTGCACGGCGTCGTCGCTGATGCGCAGCCAGCCGCGCCCGGGGTGCGTGCCGGATGCGTCCCTTGAGTCGCGCACGGGCCCGTACCGCTCGCAGCGCGCGCAGTCGCAGCCTAAGGGACATGCGAGCTTGGGTGGGGCGAAGCGGCGCTCGCCGGCGGAGGGCGGGCGGGGTTTGCGCCGGAAGCAGACGTAGTGCCCGAAGGAGTGCTGGCCGTAGTGGCAGACGACGGCGGCGAGACGGTAGAGGGTGCGGGGGACAGCGTAGGTGGAGGGCGTCGGGGTGACGGAGCGTTGGGTGGGGATGGGTGGCGGCGGAGCGGATATGGGTGAGGAGGGCTGGGTGGAGAGTTGCCCGGAGGTGGTGAATGGGGTGAGGTCGAGGATTTCGGGGAAGATCACGCGGGCGTTGTTTTTGGTGGCGTGGTGGCCATAGTGTATTGAACGGTTGAGGTGGAGGGCGAGAACGGGTGGAGGCTAAGTGAGAGGTCGGTCAGCAGGCGTGCTCCTCCACCTGTGGGACGAAGAACCTACGCGGGCAACCATGGACTGCTTTGTGGACGCCTGGCTGAATACCTTCTCGGTCTTTACGCCCGGGATATCTTCCTCTATCCTACCTTCGTCTATAGCAGCCTTGACTCGAGCCATCAGTTTCCTCGTATCGCGTGCGCGCTTCTTCTTGGAGGAAGAGGGGTTATTCGACGCTTGCGAGGCTTCGGTTAACCTATCTGCCTCCTGCTCTAATCGCCGGTAGGTGGCGAGCATGGAGCACTTTCGACAGATACAATCGCTCAACAGCTCCAGCCTCGTATAGTCTTCGAGGCACTCCTCGAGACGACACGCAGCCTAGATATTTTGGATGAATGTCAGAAGAAACAAAATGAATAATCCACTTCTGCGCACCACCATGCCAGGCAACGCGAGCTGCCAGTTATCGAACGGGAAGTGCATGACCGCTTCTGTATATCCGCACTGCATACAGCTGCGCCGGTTCGCAGTGAGCCCGTCGAACACCGTCTTACTAATATTGCGAGCGGCGAGGTCGTCCTGCTTCGTTAGTGTTACGCTCAAGCCCCGGTCTCGTCGGATTTCTTGAGCAACAGCCATGGCCTCGTTCTTGATGCATTCCGAGAGCAGCTGGAAGAGCTCCTGCGCATCCTGGTGCTCGCGAGAGGAGAAGAGCGAGTTGTTCTTCGAGGGGTTGGAGGTAGACAACGCGGCGATGATGTCAACGGGGCGATGCGCACGCGAGGAGGAGGTGGGCGTGTTTAGCACTGTCATGGGGGATCGTCAGGTAGGGGACACGTGAGCAGCGGGTACGCACTGACCACGGACGAGTTCGCGGAGGTTATCGATGACAGGAGTGGGCACATCCAGGGACTCTGCCCTAGCATGTATCTCATCTAGTTGCGGTTGTAGATACGTTAAAGAGGCCAGAGCCTGAGGTGTACCATGAGAGATCGGTATTGTGGCGGGCAGACGGCGTACGCACCTGCAGAGTCGAGTTCATGAAGCAATACGTCCCAGATATATTGACAAGCCCGGGGTAGTAGCCATCTTCACTCGAGCTCTCATGAGTGGTGTCTGGGGATAGCTGTGGTCCAGCGCGCGGCAGCACAGGGTCTACCCGAGAACGCGTACCTTGGCTGGAAGTGCGAGCGACCTGGTCATCGCGAGTGCTATTCCTTACGTGCCTCCGCTTCAGTCTCTTTCTCTCAGAATTGCTCAGGGACGAAGAGGCATCAGACCAGTTCCAAGGAAGCAGAGACGCTAGGCTGTCGAAGACCATCTGGACGGCGAAGAAGAACGAGTGACGGTAGGAGACTGCCCAAAGGGCGAGAGTAGGCACAAAGATGAGAATGACGATGGGCGCAATCTGGTGGAAGGCAGGATGGGAGAGGACGAGGTAGGCGTAGTGTTCGAGATCGCCGTGCAGCAGCATTTAGCTCAGCTCAAGAGGCCTCGAGTGAGCACTGACGACATGGGGCTCCGTAAGTTGCAAGGACGCTGCAAAGGGCCACCGCTGAGTGGCCATCGCCCGGGGGAACGTGGCCACATGATTTGCTGGTAACCCCGCTGCACCTGCCCTTTACATGGCTACCTGGCGCAATGGTAGCGCGTTTGGCTTCGATCGCCGACGGCTACAACTGTCACTGAATGTGACCAAAAGGTTGCAGGTTCGAGTCCTGCGGTGGTCATCTTTTTGGGCTGAGTGAGCTCGGTCCGGACCGTGTATCCGGTGTTGGACTCGATCTACGCGACGCGTCTGTCGCGTCGGTGGCTGCCGCGGTTCGAACAAGACGGTTTGGCGAAGGCGCCACCCCGTCGACGTGCTGCAGCCTTCTTCCCTTCGCGGCATCTGCGAGCCCTTGTAGCCCCGGCTGCACGTCAGACTCGTCTTCTTGGATAAATGGCTGCCACAGCCCTTCTCTCCCAACACTCCTCCAACCCTCTCGAAGTCTCCTCTTCCGATACCCGCAACAGAGCCTACCTCAAGGAGCTTATGGACGTCCAGCACGTCGCGCGTGACTACGCCGCTGAACATCCATCCTCCGACGACCCCCTCAACGGCTACAATGTTCCTGAACTCGAACGCTACCATTCGCACCTTGCCCAGCTCTACCCGGACGCGCCCGCACCCGCGTACCAGTACGCCGCATCTGCTAGCAATGCCCCAGAAAAGGACGTGGACGAGGAGATGCTTAGCGACGGAGGCTCAGGAGATGAAGACATGGAGCAGGAAGAAGAAGAGGAGGAGGAGGAAGAGGAGGAGGAGGACTCCGACGCGGATACTGACGAGGAATTGTCCATCTACCTCAAACCACGCGACGAGCAACTCGAAATCGAGGAGGAGATTGTTGACCTCGAGTCTGCCGTCCCAGAGCTGACAGAGGACTACAAAGTCATCGACCGTCTGGGCACGGGCACCTTCTCCGCCGTCTACAAAGCCATCGACCTCAGCTACCACACGAAATGGGACAACACCGAATGGCACGGCCACCACCCACCCACATCCTCTTCATACTACCTAACAGTACCTAATCCACCCGGAAGCAAGGTATACGTCGCCGTCAAGCGCATATACGTGACCAGCGGCCCCGAACGAATACGGAACGAGATCTCCATTATGGAGGACTGCAGAGGCTGCCGGCACGTCTCTCAACTAATTACCGCGTTTCGACATCGCGACCAGGTCGTAGCAATCATGCCGTACCACAAGAATGATGACTTCAGGGTGAGCGCGTCGAACAACGCGCATATATGCTCATGAACTCACGCATACATGCAGGATTATTATAAATATTTGCCATTAGAGGGCGTGAAGGCGTACTTCCGATGTATGTTTCGCGCGTTGCGCGACATTCATTCACGAGGGATCATCCACCGTGATGTGAAGCCTGCGAATTTTCTCTTCGACCCGCGGACAGGCATCGGCACACTTTGCGACTTTGGCCTAGCATGTGTAAGTAGACTGTATGCCTTTGCAACGAGCTCTAACGCCTTTCTTCTAGCGCGTAGAACGCGGCCCTTCTCTCGGAGCCTGTCTACATACAACGCCGACGCGCGAATTCCCGCATGGCCGCCTGAAGCCAAGGACTGAGTTTGACATCGACCACATTAAACGAATGCAAAAGGAGGGCCGTATACGAAGTGCGGGACAGTCGGACAAGGTGGGATACCCCGAGAAAGACACCCGGTAGGATAATGTGCACTCCTTGCCCAGGGACGTTCTGCTAGACATCACTCCCGAGCAGACCACATTCCAAAGCAAACCGTGCAGGCACAAGAGGCTTTCGAGCGCCGGAGGTGCTGCTCAAGTGTGGCGAGCAGACGGGAGGTGCGTTTAAAAAATTGGCAAGCACGAATTATTGCATCCAGAGGTTGAACATCATGCTAGCGATCGACGTGTGGTCCGCGGGCATGATTCTTTTGTTCTTCCTCACGAAGAAGTTCCCCCTCTTTCAGTCCAACGACGACACAGAGGCGCTCATGGAGATTGCGGCTATCCTCGGACGACGGAGGATGGAGAAGACCGCCACCCTGCACAGTACGTCTACTAACACTCTATTAGCAATATATAACTGACCTCATCCATGCCAGGTCGACTGTTTCAGTCCAACGTGCCATCACTCTCTCAAGAGGGCATGTCCTGGAAGGACTTCGTCGAACGGCAAAACCCCGACCTCCGCATACCCCCAGAGCCCGAGATCTCCTACTACCCCTACACCCTCCCCGAACACCGCGCCCGCACACGCGCCCCACCCTCTTCCTCCACCGGCTACTCCCCCGGACGCTCCTCCCCGTCCTCGCCTTCTTCCCACAGCTCTGCACGCGCCCCCTCGCCCACACCCTCTGAGCTCGCCTCCTACTCCGCCGAGATCGACAGCGCGCTCGACTTCCTCGAGAAAGCCATGGAGCCCGAGTCCACGCGGCGCATGACCCCGCGCAGCGCGCTCTACCACCCCTTCCTGCGCGAGCCGCGGCCGGACGCCCCGGGGGACGACGACTTCGTGCCGCACCCGTTTGGAGACGGGGTGTGCGGGGCGCTGCACTTTATTGACGAGCAGGAGGATCTGTGCGTGCGGGTGCCGGTGCCGGGGAGGACGGGCTTGGTTGCGAGGAGGGTGCAGGCGGGTGAGGGGATCGCGATTGGGAAGCAGCCGTGTGAGTTTCATCGGGGGATGTCGTTTTAGTTGAGTGTGTGGGGGAGGGGAGACGTGTAGCCATAGCGTGTACGAACATAATCATTTCCCGACTATTTCTCACAGCACACAGTTGCGACTACTGAGACAAGGAAGGTAAGGCAAGGCAGCCAACCGACCAAAGATGATTATACATAGAACAGGTACGTAACGTAAGAACATTGGCCCCAAAAATGTGGTTAAAGAAAGAACCTGTGCCTCGGTCAAAATACAACAACGGTCAGTGTTCAGTGTATTCCGGGGGCACCTCCGAGAACGCCATATCGGACAGAGCGTCGTCTTGCGGTGATGTTTCCTCCATTGCAGGCGGCGTGAAGCGTACGCCCGAGTCGGTGTGGAATACCCGAGGAGCAGCTACTGTTCCCTGGATCTGTACTTCTTGCTGTGTGCTTTGGCTCTTGACGGAGGGCGCCGCTTGGAAGCTATGCGAATGGGGCATCGACAAGGACGCAGAGGAAGAAGTAGCCGGTCCGGGGGTTGTTGGTCTCGACGAAGTGGCAGAGGTCGTAGCTGGTGCAGGAAATCCGAGTGGCTGCTTCGCCGGTAGCTGCCGCAGGGAAGTGGCGAGCGAGAGGTTCTCATAAGAGAGGCTGGCAAGTGTAGACGAGGGGCCCGAGGGAGGGTGTCGCATCGGTCCTCCCGCATCAGACGAGGCGGCGGCGGTAGTGGACGGAGCAGCTGTAGTCGGCGGAGACACCGGGTGCATTGTGACGTATGCTTTGGGCCCTATCAATGGGTCTGGGAAATGAGCAGACCGGAGGACGGTTTCGGTATGATTTTCGCGCACCTTGTTCGAGGAGATCGACCTCCTTCTTCGAAAGAGCAAGTCCCTCGCCCCGCCTGCGACGTTTGACGAACAGGGAAAATGCCGCAAAGGTGAGCAGGGCGAGTCCTGCGATGCCGCCCACGACACCGCCCACGATGGGACCCACAGCTGCCTGTCCTTTGCTCGATTCTACTATGATAGACGGCGTGGCATCGGTAGGTTGGGCGAGACTTTGCGTTTGTGCTGCTGAGCCCGAGCTCAACGGCGTATACTGGATGTAATCCAGCACGAACGGCCATTCCGCCTCGGAGCGGTCGTCCCCGTGGTCGACGCGCATGACCATCGTATGTTGTCCGGGATCCAACGTCTCCCAGCTGAACCACTGCCATGCATATTCGGCAGTTGTGCCGTCGAATGGCGACCCCATGATCGGTCCCGCCTCGCCGTCCATGATGAACGTCGCCGACGGTGCACGGACAAGTAGGCCCGTGTCCGGGGCCGCGAGTATGACGCCAAACACGTACATTTGCGTGCCTGCATGGCGAGCGCAAACCCAGGGCAATGAGCTCAGCGTGCGGGACTAGCGCGGATGTGGCACGTACCGTTGAACACGAGAGTAGCGGTCGCATTCGTGAACCCGGCGGCGTATGTGTTGTTCATGACGTTGTCCTGCCGGTCGAGATGGCGCCAGAGGCTCTCCGGCTTGTAGACAATGGCCGGGTTCGTGTCGTCGAGGGTTATGAGCGGCGGTGGAGAGCTGGCCATAGCTAGCGACCTATCTGGCGGGGCACCGCAGCAGCGAGGTTGGTGCCTCCAAAAGGGAGGAGAGAATGGGGGGAATGAGCTGAGGGGATGGTGAGGTGGCGCAAAGCCAACTAGAACTGGGCACGCTGCAACCGGTGAGACCTGGCATCGCAGACGGCGTTATACGGATACCGCGTACAACTCGGACAGCTGGTCCCTCGTAGCGGAGTGATCCAAGTGACATAGCTCACCCATTGTGCATGGATCATGGCCCTATCAATCCTCGCGGACAGAAGATTGTCTGGATGTTCGCCCTGGGCTTGACCTTAGGGAATTATACAGGTGTTACTTGACGAGGAGCAGCACCTTGATCAAGCCAAAAACGATAAATTTGTATCAAGAAAAGTGGAAGCACTGTAAACGCTGGTGTTACAGCGGCATTCCTGAGAGCATGATAGTCACGGTTACGACGTACCATATGTCCAAAGCTTTGAAGGAAACAAAGCGGGTCACCCTAAGGAGGCTATGGCCTAACGTCCGAGGCGTTCGGGACCAACTTCAGGTTACCATATACGTATGCACACGCGCCCATGCCGACTACTTGAATGTCGTAAGGCGCTTATTCAAGTTCGTGAAGCTCAGACCTCACCAAAAGCCATGGCAAGTATAAGATGTGGCATTAATTCCGTCCGGGGGACAAGATATACTATCATACAAACATCGAGGCAAGATCGTAAAAGGGTAACGACGTGGCAGGGGCGTCAGGATGGTATAGTATACTACAACGTGCTATACATCACCTACTCAATGCGTAGGCAACAGCGAGCACATAAACGAGATCTCGCGACGGAGTGCGGTCGGGTGAAAGGGGAATAGTGGAATAAGAGGGTAGGTGGGGAGGTAGATGTCAGAGGTCGAGGAGGTCGAAACCATCTCAGATATCGCTCATGCTGTTGAGCAAGCCCGCCTGGGCGACGGAGCTGCTACCCTCCCCGCTCTCATTGACGAGGAGCCCCCTGCTGCCCGAGCCAGACGCCTCGGGCTGCTGTGCTATCTGGCCGATAACGTCGCTCTGGAGCTGCATCGGTACGAACACGACCTTGCTATTCGCGGTCTTCGCCATCGTCTGCAGCGCCTCGAGCTGGCGGATCTGCATCGCGGCGGGCGACGCGAGGATGTCGGCCGCCTGGCGCATGAGGCGCGCCGCGTCGACCTCCGCGCGCGCAGCGATGACCTTCGACTCCCCAATGCGCTTCTGCTGCGCGGCGGACGAGAGCGAGGCGGAGACCTCGGCGGAGAAGATGATGTCCTTGATGAGGATGCCCTCGATCGCGACGCCCCACTTGTCCGCGACGTCGCCGACGATCTCCGCGATCTCGAACGCCATCGCCTCGCGCTCGGTCACGACGCTCTGCACCATGCGCGCGCCGACGACGTGCCGGAGCGTGGTCTGTGCCCGCTCGATGAGCGCCTGGCGCAGGTCTGAGATGCCGAATGCGGCGCGGTAGGGGTTCGTGATCTGGAAGTAGATGACCGAGTCGCTGAAGCATGCGTCTCAGTAAACATCCGAGAATAGAAATAGAGCGCGTGCTGACATTTCAACGTCGACGTTGTCGCGGGTGATGACCTTCTGGCGGCCAATGGCACTAATCTGGATCTTGACGTCGACCACGCGCAGGGACTCCGTGCAGACGTTGACCTGGACGAGACCAGGGTCGACTGACTTGTAGAACTGACCAAAGCGAGTCACAAGACCGACGGATCCTACGCAAATGTAATCAGTATATGGCCACACTGGTCAGCCACATACGAACTTACCTTGTTGGACCTCGCGGAAGGGGTTGGGGCATGGGCAGCAAGGAACGGCTCCCAACAGACCGAGGCACGACCCGAGGGCCTGCAACATGGATCCGTAGACACCATGGGTGACCTACACACCGTCGCAAACGTTCAGCCATGCTATCGCGGTCGAAGATAGGAAGGCACACACCTCTCGTGTTCCAAGGTCCTGTGCATACGAGGGCTGGAGGATGACGCAACGAGATTAGATGGCGGGAGAAGTAATCGGCCGTGCGCGGATAACGAACCTGCATCTCGCTCCGCTTCAACGGCTGCACCTTGATGAACTGCTCTCCGTTCGGCTTCTTCGGGGGCATCGAAGCCGTGCCGCGGGGCTCGTCTGTAACTGGGTGAGCGTCGGCCATGATCAGCACGGACAGTGGGGGGCAGGAAGAGAGGAGGGGGCGGGAGAGGGGCGGGAGAAACGGGCGTCTCACCATTCGGAGCATCGTGGTCCACGACGTTGTTCCCACGGGCAGAACGGTCGGAGGGGGTGTACGCGCGCGCCTTGGAGTCCATGTTGCTCATCGCGTAGCTCTGGGACGGGGATGGGGGCATGTGCGGGCGGCCTAGACCGGGGATGTCGCTGGGGTCGCGCGGGCGTGGACGCTGGAGGAGGCGGCGAGGGAGCGTTCTCGCGCCGTCGCCCTCGCGCGCGGTGTCTTATATGCCCACGGGTGTGAGCGGCGGCTGCAGTCACCTGCGACATCCGCAGCCCTCGAACTCGTTCCACGGCCCTTCCAACTCTCATGCCGCTCCCACCCACGCTCGACATTCTGACAGCTCGCGCATATCGTCCTTCTTCCGCAGTTCCTGGTGCGAGTGGGCCCCGCGGGCTGGTTTCACCGACCGCACAACTCTAATCTTCGTGTGGAACCGGGAGGGGCCTGAAAGGCCAGAAGGCACCCAATCTCGAGCAGTCAATTCCACTCGCTGCGCACAGCCGCCTATCAGGCTCCTCCACAAGACCATGCGCTGCGAGCGCAGGTGTAGGCTCGAGTCTTGACGTATATCCGACCTACGACCGTGCTCGGCTCGGGTCTATCGGAATGCGGCAGGCTCGAGCGGCGGGTTTCAGTTCGTACAGGCATAGGAATACAGGTCCACCTGACAACTCCTGCCGTCTGCGCAGTCCTCAATTGAACTACTCCGCGGGCTGCGAGCCATGCGCGCCCGATCGAGGACACACCCAATTCCCGATGCCGCGCGGCATGAACAGTCTACATTGCTTCGCGCACTGCTGGCATCATGCATCTCCACCGGAATTTCTGATGATACGTCGAGGGGGCTCCAAGCCAAGATGGCCCACATAGGACTCCAACATCATGAGTACTGACTCGTGCAACGGAGCAGCAAGAATCCATCGGGTCGGAACCGGTTACTTATTGACAAGTGATGTGATGAAGAAGCACAAATTTGAGTTCTATATTATACATTAGAGAACCAGACGACACAGGCGGGTCGACAGCGTTATGTAACACCTTCAGAGCAAAAGCAACGATAGGATAGATGATACACCGAAATGCCCTAGAAATATGTATGCGGAATCGCGACGGCTCGGAGCACAGACACGGCAGATAGGAGCGGACGAACACGAAGAGAGGCAGAGAGAGAGAGAGAGGTGAGAGAGAGGGTAAGAGAGGGTGAGAGAGGATGAGAGAGGGGTAACTGAGGGAGTGGACTGGATATCGGGGTGTACGGCGATCGCGGTCAGGGTCAGGGGCGGCAAGCAAGGAGACGAGTAGGGTAGGGGTGCATACGATACTATGTACAGACACTGCAGAGTCCAGACACGTACGCGCTCACTCGATCATCTTCATGACGAGCTCCGAGATCCACTGGATCATCTTCGTGGCGTGCCCGCGGTTCAGCGGCAGGAACTGGAAGCTGTTCACGAGCCCCTGCATGCTCTGCTCCTCGAGCGCGTTCATGTGCTTCCGCCCGGGCCCGTGGGTCACGCCCTCGTCGACGGTGCTCAGCGTCGACGCAGAGCCCACGCCGAGCGCCCGCGTGCTCGGCGGCCCGCCGTTGTTCGCCCGCTCGATCTCGCGCGTCGCGACGCGGAAGATGTTCGAGACGGCCTGCAGGATCGTCGGGCTGTTCGAGTTCGCGAACGCCTCCTTGACCTTGTCTTGCACGCTCTCGTACCTGCGACCAAAGTGGTTAGCGTCCTGCCAAACGCGGCTTCTATCCACATCTACTCACGTCATGCCGATAACATCGGGCCAGGCGTCTGCGACGTCCGAGAGGATGTTGTACAGGATCGCGGACTCGTTGTCGTCCCCCTGCGCGGTGGCGAGCATCGCAGTGACGAACGACGTCACAAGCAGCGCAGTGTTGTTGTCCCCGAAGCCGATGAGGCCGATCGGGAGCTTGTACACCGCTTCGTCGTCGTCCTGGGACATGAGCGTCTCCTCCGACAGCCAGGACGGGTCGACGTTCGCCTCCTCCATGAGGCGCTTGAGGCTGTGTATCCGCGTCGACATCGGAAGGAGCGCGAGGAAGTAGCCCAGCACGTCCTGGCACACAGGCGCCCCTGGCCCGTCGTCCGCGTGCTCGACCTCCACGCACGATCGGACCGTTATGCTCAACAAGCTCCGGAGGGCACCCTCCGCAGCATCCCGCAGTGCGGAGTGCCTGACGCCCTTGAAGATGGTGGCGGCCAGCGAGAATGAGAAGCTGGAGTCAAATGAGAGCCCGAGGAGGTGGTCTAGTTGGCAGGCGATGTCCTCCAGGGGTATACGGCCCTCGAGGAGCGTGGCCGGGACGCCCCGCTCCCTGAAATGGCCGTGCTCGGCCATGTTCTCGACAGTGACCCGCAGCAGACGGATGGCTTCGACGTACAGCGCCATGTGGCTGGACTGGAGGAGCGCGACGGCGAGCCAGAATAGCTGCGAGAGATAGCGCGAATTGCCACTGGTTGCAGGTACGACGTTCGTGATGCACCGGAGCATGCTCAACACGGAGGTCGTATCCGTCTCGCTGGACTGGGACAGGGCGGTCTTGAAGGCGACGAGCATCTGGTAGAGCAGGTCGTCGTCCACGTCCGAAGTCGCCAGTATGCCCAGAGAGACGAAGGCCCGGCTCTGGACTGCTGGTGAAAGTTGGAATGCCGACGAGGTGATGAGGCTCATCCACCTCGCTCGCCATACATTCAACAGCCCTGCAAATCATGAGCGACGGTTGCAATATAGACAACGGTCAGGGCATAACATACCCTGAGATGCCGAGATCGTTTCCATGACTCGCAGCAACAGGCGATTGAGCGACTCGAGGTCATCAATGACCGCCTTGCTGTTCGGCGGGTCGTAGAGCACGAACTCGCTCGTCGGCGTGGGTTTGCAGAGCCCAAACAACCGCATGACCTCTGGCTGGACACACTCGTCGACCATGGCCTGGATCTCCGGGCTCGCGGTGGCGTCGGTCAGCCGCACGGAGTACAGGCCGTGCAACATATGTGTGACGATGGCGAACACCGTGCACCGCACGTACAACTGACCTGAGGCGCCTATGAGGGCAACCAAGTGCATCGTTTCGGGAACGAAGAGCTGGATCTGAACTGAGTTCTTCGCCGAGTTGACCAGGACAAGGAGGAGGCGAGTCAGACAGGCGATCTCGTTCCAGTGAACGTTGTCGGCCAAATTCCGGGTGGGTTTGATGGACGTCTTGCCAATGACCTGCAACGAACATTAGACATCAAGACACGATATGGCCTCTGCACCATACCTTGCGCACTCGGGCCAGCACGCGACCGCGAACGTTGATGGAGTTGAGTGAAGTCATGAGCTCTGCGACTTTCTCGCAACGCAAAGAACCCATCCCGCCGTCGACAGCAGCGCGCATGAGCTCGTCTAGAATGAGGTTAACAGTGTTCGTGTCGAGTTTGCCGATCTCCGCCCAGATGAACTTCTGCAAGTAGCTTTGAAGCTGCCCAGCTGTGTCAGCGACAGACGTTAGGAAGAATGATAGTCAGTCAGCTCACTTCGTTCTCTGTCGTCGTCATGTCCACAAGCATACGGACGCAGTCCCGGAATCTTGTCCCCGATGGCTCGTAGTGCGGGCTGGTTGGATCGGTGAAGCATGCCAGGTTCTTCGTCCACGGGCCCATGTACTGGTAGCAGTGCGCCCTCAAAGCAACATTGAGTTTCGAAACGCCTCCACACATCTCTGAGATGAAGTCCATGGTGAGCTGCGGAGTATGCCCAGCTAGACTGTCGCTAAGCGTAACCAGGAATGTGCCGGGATGTCCGGAGACAAAGAAGCCTAAGAAAGCGGATTATGCACTGCTACGTAGAGGTGACACAGTGAGAACATACCTTTCGAAGGGATGGCTGGCCGTCCTTCGAAATCCAGGTAAGCGCATATCGCCGACAAGAGCTCGACGCAAGCAGTACGCGGCTCTTCTTCTTCTTGACTGATGCCCAGCAGTGCAATGCGCAGGAGGGTGGTGATGATGTTCGATAACCTCGAATGCCGTTCTGTGGTAGGTAGCTGCACTGAACGAAGAAGACCCTTGGCGCTCCGGACTGTCTGCGTCACAAACCTTCGTCAATACCCGCTGAGTTCTGGACGGAAACAGCAAATACCTTGACGATAGCGTCTCGATGCGGAGAAGAGAAGTATAGCGTGACGCCCTGTCGAATCTTGCGGATGATGAACTCGTGAGAATCATGGCCCGTCGAGACGTTGTAGACGTCATTGATATCGCCCAGTGGGATGATCTCTGTGGCCTTGCATGACAATGCATTCGAGATGGGCAGCGCTTTGGTCTGCAAGACACATTAGAGGCAGAAGGCGTTTGACTGGCAGATAGCTTACCGTCGTGATGCGGATATGACTCTGGGATACTCGCATGGTGACAGGGACACGCATGGGATGCGTATGCCGCATGGTCACTTCCTCGTATTCGGTGCCAGGTTCATCCTCCAAGACATCTTCATACCACAATGAGAAACGAGCTTCGATCCAAAACGATGTGACGTACTGGCGTAGCTCAAGGATGGCGCAGACAGGCCGTCGGAGTAGTTGTTCAGAAGGTCACCCAAGGACGTGTGCATGGTGATGTGTATTGCGTCAGTGGTACCTGCGAAACGGTAAGAATATGCTGGATCTTGCGTACAGCGGGGACGTACCGGAAGTAAGATTATTGTACAATCTGCGGAGATAGCGAAGAGCGAAAGTGTTTGGCGTCAGGAGGCGCATCGTCTTGAGCCGCTTCCAGATATCCAAGGGTATCGTTTCCGCAGCAAATTTGAGCCATTGCGCGGGCACTTGGGATGTGGACGTGAATCCGGTATAGTCGAGGATCATGTCGAAGTCTCGACCCTCGTTCGTAGGAGAGGTGACACACTAACAGATGATGTGAGTTCAGTAGATTCGAGGCACCGAGGAACAAGCACGTACCTTGAAGATATAATATAGCAATAGTTCGAGATCCAGAACCTCCACGTCGATCTTTGATACAGAAAGCACAAATACAGCATTTGCATTCTATGACATGTCAATATGTGTTCCGAAAACAAAACTGGAGTATCACTCACAGGAGAGCCGATGGCTTCCACGAACAGCTCTTGAACGGTGTTGGTATCACGACGGTCACATCTCATCATCAAGTCGAGGTATTCTCGGTGTTCTCGACTGTTCAACTGGGACAGCTTCGGGCTCTCAAGAGGTTGTCCGAGGTCGACGAGCGCAGCACAGAGCGCATCCCAGGCCCGCTTACCGTTGGCGGCAGCGGCTTCCGCCTCAGGGGTCATCTTCTCCGCGGACACCTTGGAGGAGCTGAGCAGCTCCTTTCCGATCTTGTCGGCATGCTTCTCGAAAAAGCGATGCAGAATGATCGTGTCGGTTTCATCGTAGGTCCGTTCGAGCCACTCATCCGCCTCGTCTTCAGCACTCGGAGGGACGTATTTCTGTGGAGGGGGTCAATATGGCTTCAAGTTCTAGGACAACAAATCGTGCGTACGTTGATCTCGCTCAGGAACTTCGTGACCGTTACGATGTTCTCCTTCAGGAAGTCATTCAAGATGACCATATGTGCTTCCTTGCCGAACAGGATGTTGTTAGCCAAGTTCTGGATGATCTTCGCTATCACCATGAGCCCTCGACGGACGGTAGCATCGTAAGGGACGGGGACGTCGACGGTCTCAGGTGTCACGATAGCCGGTGAGATGAAACTGTCGCGAGGTATCAGTTACCTGAGACACACGCAACGACCGCGAATGCTTACCGCAGGAAGATGAAGGCACCGAGAGCGGCGAACTTGGCTTCTGGCCAAACCTCGTTGCTGTTGGGGATGAGCTGGGTTCAAATGGAACGCAGGGCTGCACTTACACCGACTTAGCGATATGAGCGCATATCTCCCGGATGATCCTGCAACATGGTTAGCCCTGCTCGCAATGCGAGACATGACAAACGCACGAAGGAAGAGCGGGTATCGAGGATGAAATGATCTCGAGGAATTTGGAGGTGATTAGCTCCACAGTCTCCTTGTTCTGCTTGAGCTCCTCCTTGCTGACCCTTGACGGGTCCAGCTCGTAGCCGCGGCCAGGCGGCATAGTCGTGACGAGCTTGACGAGGGGCAGGATGAGAGACCTGAGGTAGTTGTACCCATACACCCTGGCGAATGCAGACAGGAATCGTGTGCACGTCGAGTTGCTCCGGAACAACGCAGTGTCGCTGTCTGTGAGGGTTACGTAAGATTTCCAGCGATGCTAAACCTCGGAGAAGGTACAAACCCGTCTTCTGGATCTCGTTGTCGATCATGGTCTTCAACAGCCCCATGAGAGACGACCTGGTGTCAAACAGGTTCAGCAGAACGGCATTCATGCTGTCAACTTCGTTCGGAGGACATATCTCGCAGATGGCCAACGCGAGGACGTTCTGCACAGGAGTTAGTAACAGCAACCCTGCCATAATCAAATTTTAACTCACATCTTGACCTTTCACAAGCTCGCAAAGACGACTTTGTCGGGCGATGACGGGAGTCTCCTCGTAGTGAGCAAACTTGATACCCTCCTTGAGCACTCGGGTGAAGACGTGCGCAAAGATCAGCCGCCTGGTAGGATCGAGGTCGTCCGCCATTGACAGACAGTGCTTCACGCCGCATTCCGTGTTCGCGCTGATCAGCGACGCGAGACCGTCTATGAGCATTTCCCGCAGTTCGCCGTCCCGCTGCTGTACGCGCATCTATAGCGGAGAGTCAGCTCCGGTCACTCGAAAGTTAGCGATGCGATGATGTATACCTTCGTCATCGACGACTTCTCTGAGATCCCATCGTCACGGGCCTGGATCCAAGGTCAGTACATACGGGTTGAGTCGAGTCCCATTAGCACTCACGTTGCCGTCATATCTCGTGACCTCCCAAGTCTTCAGCAGGAACGTCGCATAGCGGATGAAGAGACGCGAGACGGCGTGGGCGGTGTCTTCTCCTGTAGTGCCATCCGAAACCTCGAGCTGCAAGCGGTCAAACGAGGCCACCGCAGCCTTGAAGATGGCGACGTTCAGCTCGTAATGCAGCGTCATCAATTGCGCGTCCTCCTAATACCTACATCAATACAGAACTCTTAGGCAAAACGAAGGACCCGCTTACGACAGTGTTATCCTGGACCCAGTCGACGATAATGTCAACGAGACTCTGACGCACGGCCGACTCTTTGTTTCGCTTAAGAACGGGGTCGGTCTTAGTGAACACGCTTCCACAGAGCTGACAGAACTTCAGCTTGAGGCGGAGAGATTGTGCTTCCGAGTCGTCGACCCTGCCGATGAACGTAGCGAGTGTGTGCAGCGTGGAAGGGACGTCGATAGACCGCATGTCCTCGGCGAGACCCTGAGAGTTCTCCAGCAGCACCTTCAGGATAGTGATGAACTGCACAGATGTGAGCAAGGGCACGGCTCAGAGATCGGATTCTACGTACTTGGTCGAGGAAGACCGCCAGCACCGGCGTGTTGACGTTCTCGTCGTCGGTCACCATCCGAATGACACTGCGGAACGCACATCAACACAACGCCCACCAACCACGCATCGTCAAACACGCACTCATCAAGCTGCTTCACAATCCGGCCGTACAGCCGCGGGCTCGCCTCGTTGCTCAGCGCCTCCCTCGCGATGTCGCGCACCTGCGGCGCGTCCGACACCAGGAAGTTCACCGTCTCCGTGAGGAAGTTCGCCAGCAGCTCCGACGGGTCGCGGAGCACGCGACAGCAGTCGGGGATAATCGTCGGCGGGATTATCTTGGTGAGCGCGGACGGGTCGTGGTGCTCGCGCATGCACGCGGCGCCGAACGCAGAGAGGAAGAGCGTGAGGTTCTGCCACTGCGCCTGCCGGTCCTCCAAGCTGAGCGCCTTGTCGCCGATGGGGGCCGAGCCGTTCTCGAAGCCGTCCGTTGTCTGTTCGAAGGTCATACGGATGGTCATCTCTGTGAGCGCGCACCACCGGAAGAACAGCTCCTGCCACACGGCGACGTGGGCAGCGGTCGGGGTTGTGATGAGGCGCATAAGCTTGCGGATGCGTTTCTGGTGTCCAACTCGTCCTGTTTTATGTCAGTCATGTCAAGTCGTGTGTTGACTGGGCTTGTAGTACTTACCGATCATTGATACTTTGGGGTCTCCCAGTTGCTCGTAGACAGGATGACGTTTCATGGCTTCCTCCTCGTTGCCTTCCGCGTAGGGCGGCGCGTCGGGATTGCGCTCTACTTGCGTCAGCAACCGCAGGCAATTGCAGGCCGTCAGAGAGACGACGCCATCAGCAGAGCACAAGCACACTAGGAAGGCAATCTCGGTGAGCGCGAAGACAGATGCCCGGTTCGGAGTAATGCGGAGGGCGTGTTGCAGCTGCTTGTTCTGTTCCAACGTATAAGCATGACAGAGCTGGCAATGTGGACAATAGACTCACCGACTCGGGGTTCGCATAGCAGTACATGATCTCGTACAGCTGTTGAATGAACATGCGCTGAGACTGGAGGTCCGTGCGCGTGTTGAGCAGGTGGTTGGCGACCGACGCCAAGATCGCAGGACTGCAACCACATCAGTACGAAACACGCCACACAGTGCCGTGTGAACGTACCCGACTTCCTCGACCCACTTCACGAGCAGCGGGTACCGTGGGCTGTCCCGCGGGAACTGCACGACAGATTCGATGAGATACCGGAACGTCCTGCCCAAGGACCACTTGACGGCAGGATCGGCCGGTGCGCTGTACACGGTCACACACGCTGCGAACACGCCGTCAATCTCCCCCGGCTGCAGACAGTCGTGGTACCACCAGATGTCGGTGCGCCACAGCGTTAACAGGCTCAAGATGAACAGATCTCTGTCAGGCAGGGTTTCGGACGTGTACCGCTTTGCCTTGGGGCGGATGGCGCTCTTCCTGGAGGAGCCGTTTGCATCGACTTCGCTTCGCCGGGTGTACACGCTCTATGGGCGCATTGAGCAGGAGTATCTCAGGGACGCGGTAGGTCACTCACGAAGAATATGGCATTTAGCCGTGTCTGCAGTGCATCCTTCAATGGTGTGACCGATTTCTGCCAAGGCAGTTTCCAACCCTGACAAGGTGGATGAGCGAATATGCTCAAGATAAAGAGAAAACCCCGTTACCTCCACGATCAAAGCTAAGCAGGCTTTGACGACGCAGATCTTGACGGCCTCGGACCGTTCAGGCTCGAGACACTGCAGGAAGATGGAGATCGACTCGTCTTCTGGCAAAAAGCGGTAAAGAGAAGCAAGTGCATCTGCTATCATGGCGACGTCAATCTCGTCAGGGCACTCCCAAAACGGCTTGTCCTTGGTCCACTTCATCAGGGTCAACTAGTTCGGCGATGTGTGAGTGAGTATTCCCGCTAACGCTGATAGATCGCTCACCTTGAGCTCATGTGCAAGGTCGAAGGCAGTTGAGATAAGAGGGACGTCGACCTCTCCTTCTGGTGGTCGAAGTCTGGACGCTGCTCTGCAAACATCGATAGCACAGACCATGCTGACTTCGGAGTTCTTCGAGCCGTAGGGCAGGTTTCTGAGGAGGAGCTCCGTGAAGTTGCGTTCCTGTGACGCGTTTGCATGAGCTGTGCGATCCTGCTAAATGGTGGTCTGGCTTACCTTCCGATAAGTGGTCTTGTGTGCACCGATCGCGTTCGTCTCGTACTCAATCTTCATGCGGTCATAGCTAATGCTCAGCAACACGGCGAGGGTCGGCCATGCGCCCGCCTTGTCGCGTGTGTTCTCTTGCAGGTCAAACAGCAGATCGTAGACGCGCTCGGGCGCGCCTTCTAGACGACGATGGGACAGGAGAGCCTCATTGAACTCTTCCGGGCAGAGCTCTATCCAGTTCCAAATAGCCGTCCTGAGCGCGATGGACACCGGCACCTGGGCGTCCTTCTTGAGGTTCATGAGGAGCGAAGAGATCTCTGACAGGGAGTTATAGCAACGGCCGATCAGCGCGAACGTAAAATGCCTTACCTTGCAAGCATTGCACGAGCTTCACCTTGTCCAAAGCACTGTGCGTGATAAGTTGTAGGTCAGCGGTGTCGGGCTCCGCGTCCGCCGAACCGGCAAGGCTGTGGATGCGTTGCCGTATTCTGCTGAGAACCACGGCCCAGTTGGACGCTGACAGGTGATAGATGATGCGCCCTGTGTACTTCGCGATGGAAGAGTGCAGGGACAGTATCGACCTCGCCACCATGAATGATGTCTTCTCATACACGACGGAATGTTGAGGCAGCCGGCTGGAGGCAGAGCTGCTTGGGCCTGCGGAGTTGAGGGAGGTCGACGACGGATGCCGCGCACGGTTCATGGTCCTTGGCAATCCGGAGATGACGGGCGGAACGGCGCCAAGGGGGTCATCACTAGAGCCAAACTCATGGGATTCCACGGACTCGAAGTCCTGGAAAGATGCGTCGAAGCTTAGGTTCGCTGCGGATGCAAGACGGTGTTTCCTGGGGGCAGTCTGGCGCAGGATGAGAACCATAACACTGATGATGTAGCGGGCGCAATTGTCGTCAAGGGCCGGAGGCTCGAGTAATGTGGTGGTGGGGGTAGAGAGCTGTTCTGCGGAGCCGTAACGGCCACGGCCGGACGGGGCGGACGAGTCCGGGGTAGCAGGTTTGGATGATGGGGCGGGCTTGCTTCCGCGGGAGTTCGGTCTCGTGTCATCGGGGAGCGACCCCCACCGAGAGGCCATGGCCAGAGAAAGCACCTTGAGGAGGAAGAGCTGTGATTGCAGGACATCCGCGCTCCGGAAGCCCGCGCCCTCGATTTGCTAGAAGTGATTTAGAGTGCTGGCTGCGAACACGCGATTGGGAGTACTGCACCTTCGCAAGTTTGTCCAGATGTTCCGTCAGAGCGAGCGAGATCATGTCCAGCGAGTCCTTCGAGAGCTCGACCAAGGAATCCACCGTCTGTTGCACCGCTTCGTCCGCCTCCAGCGCCGTTAACGAGATACCAGAATTACATGGAAGCTATACGCGTATGATCAGATATCTGCACGCGAGCATCCTTCGAAGACGGATTCCGACGGCGTAGGAACTGTGCGCACCTTGTTTTTGAGCCTGTTAATGAGGACTTGGACTACTTTTTGCTGCGGGGACGGCGGGATGTTCGTCGTGGATGATGCGTATGGGAGGTTATGGGATTGGAGGACCGGAGACTGCGCCGATATACTGTGATTTGAGCCATTGCTCCTGTGAACACGGGAAGAGCTGGCTATATTATGGCCGGCGGAGGCACGTCTTGCGGGCATTGCTCATGAGCTGCCGCGTGTCCGCGTGTAAGTCGTGAGGGGTGAAGTCGAAGGTGATGGTGGTGGTATGAATGCAACCAAGAAGGAGAAGAAAGAGGGTATGGGGAAGCCGAGAGGCCTCTGGGGACGAGGGCACAGAGAGGTGCGCGACTCTCACTGGCAGTTGTAGAGCCGGCAACTGAGTACAGCGACTTCGAATCGCACGGGGTGCGCGCCTCGCTTACGTACCACCCATATAAGGCAGTTCCGTCGGCTCCCGAACTAGGTACACTTCATGAACTCGGCTCCCGTGCACGCGCTATGCCACCATGTGTCCATGTGCACTCATATCCAACCCTCTACTGAACGTGTGGACACTCGACATAGTATTCCCTGAAATGTGCGTAACGCCAGCAGTGCAAGCCGCAGGCCGATCACATCGCAGCAAGTACACAACCTATGCTCCTGCGCGCCACCCAGCCGTTGACGTTGAAGCCTTCATGTCCGCGTCGGAACCAGTAGTAGCAGGTTCGGAGAATCTTCACGGACCATGGACGGTGGGCGTGATGAAATACAGTGCCCTGTGTCGACCAATTGGCTGAAGTGCACTGCAATGAACATGATGGCATGATTCATAGAGTATGCCACGATCGGACGTACCTCGCTGGCGGTATGGGCACCAAAGACCACGTATGTGGCGGACAATAGGCTGCATCGATGTCCAGTCGCCCGTCGCCAGTTGGCATCTTGATCTGACTGTCAGAATACTTCGCAGAGTTGTCGATGAATGGAGCACAATGGCCCAGCCAGAGCGGCGACGTGGATCCCCGGAACGCTGGGTTATCCAGCGAGATCATTCGCACTGATAATTTCGACATAAACTATAGACGATGGTTATACAGATCAGCGCAGGCCTAGTTGAGGATCGTCACATACTTGTTGTCCTCGATCGACCCATTGCGCCACGCCAGGCTGTGACAGACAGGCTCGACGTATGAATACATGAATCGCGACGAACGTCTATAGACCACCACAGGGGTGGGGGCGGATGTCGGGCGTGGCGGAAGAGCCGGTACAATGCACAACTTATGGAGACGCGCGGGCAGGATTCGAGGAAGATTGATCCGCCGCGTGCGGGGGCGTCCACAAACGCCCCTGCGCCTGCGCCTGCGCCATAAGCACAATAAATTATTGGCCAGGAATGGTCTAGATCAGCAGGCCAAGGCCGGGTATATAAACCGCCCCCCGCCTCCTGTCCCTACAAGATGATGTCCAGCGATAGCCTCGTGGTTGCCTGAGTCGCGGCGTCCCCCTCCGGAAACTCCGCCACAATCTGTACTCCGCATCGCAGAGGATTCGGCTGGCTTGTCTCTGTCCCCCTCCCCCGACTCTGAGGCGACCGACTCCTAGAAAAACGCACTCACCCGCCAAGCGCCTCGCGGGACATCCCCCCCTCCTGTCGTATCGCTGTCGAAACCCCTGCCTATATCCTTCTCCATCGCTCTCCGTTTGCTGCTGACCGTCGTTCGCGCATAGCTCTTCTGCTTGTTTTTGTCTGCATCGGGTTTCTTGTCCTCCCTCTCGCTGTCGATTCTTCTCGTTTCTCGCCTCCCGGACGCCGCACACACGGACCCGAAGGACCGTCAATCCGCTCGAACGCTGCGCCAATCGATCTCTGCGCCTCTTCCGATCTTCACGTCTCTTTTCGACATGTCACGCTCGGAAGCACACGGCCAGGAATACGACCACCTCGGGTTCGACGCCCGCACCAGCGGCGAGCATGGCCCCGGCGCTGGCGGCGGCCATGACTTCGGCGGCCACCTCAGGGACTTCATGCCCCGGGACGGCCTGCGCGAGAACCAGTCGGCACCCGCGCGGGACTACGGCGGGCAGGACTTTGGGCCATCGACGACGTTCTACAACTCGGCCTACAGCGCGTCCCCGCCGCCCTTCACGGCCGATCGCAGGCCGTTGACGTCGAACAACATGCCCGGCAGCGGCGGCTTCTCGTCGTTTGTTGCGCCGAGAATGCTCAACCAAGGGCAGGGGATCGGCGTCGGGACGGGAGGAGGTTGGAATTCGAAGCCGGGCACGTACTCGGGCACGCCGAACACGGGCAGGCCGTCCGGCGAAGGCAGCGGAGGGATGTCTTCACAAGTTCAACCCTCTGCACCCCCCTTGGTTCTTAACCACCACCATCGCCCCTCTCCTCCCCGCGGCCTCCCAGATATCTACACCTCCCCCCTCCTAGCGTCCTCCCCTCCCTTCCCCGACCGCGAAAGTCGCGACGCTTTCTTGAACCAGCGACAGCAACACCAGCCCACCCCTCTATCCGTCCAGCTTCCGCCCGCGCAGCCCCAGTCCCTTTCTTCTCCCAATTCAGCCCCCTCTGCACGTACGACCCTTTGGTGGGGCGAACTCGAACCTTGGATGGATGAAGAATACGCAAAGCAGGTCTGCACCCTCATGGGTTGGGACCCTGTCGGCATCAAGGTGCCCCGCCCTGCCCCCGACGCCATCACCGGCCAGCAGGCCAACAACCCCGGCTACTGTTTCCTGACGTTCCCTACTCAGTCACACGCCGCATCTGTCCTCCAGCAGGTCAACACCAGCAACGCGCCGCTGATCATGCCAAACTCTGCGAAGCAGTTCTCGCTCAACTGGGCCTCATCAGTTCCTTCAGCTCCGCTCCCAGCGGCCATGCCGGGTCAGACCATTTCCATTCCCGGTGTGCAGAACCCCCAATACCCTAAAGAGTACAGCATCTTCGTTGGTGATCTTGCCCCTGAGGTATCGAACTCGGACCTCGTTGCTGTCTTCCGGAACCCAGTTCTCGGCCTGCGCAACGATCGTGAACCACGCTTCATCCGACCTTTCTTGAGCTGCAAGAGTGCGAAGATCATGTTGGACCCTGTGACCGGGGTGTCCCGTGGGTACGGCTTCGTCAGGTACGTCTGGACCTCGCTGCGCCTGCGCTTGTCCGACGTAATATCTCACACTTCACCTCAGGTTCACCGACGAGTCTGATCAGCAGCGCGCTCTCATCGAGATGCATGGTCTTTACTGCCTGTCGCGTCCCAGTCAGTTCATTTTTCACCATGTCCGCTGCACTGTTCTGACGCTGTGCCCACAGTGCGCATCTCGCCTGCCACGGCCAAGTTCAAGCCGGCCCCCGGTATGACTGGATTCGACTTCTCACAAATGCCGTATCCTTCTATGATGCAACCGCCTCCGCCTCACCCTGCGCAGGAGTCTTCGACTCATCCCATCGCCCTCCCTAGCTCTGCCCAGGCGAAGAGCGTGTCGGCGCCTCTTGCTGGTTCCGCTGCCGCGTCGAGCTCCGGCTCCTTAGCGAACACTGCGGGGTCCATCGCGGGCTCGGCGAACTCGCTTTCTGCGCCTTCTCTCAGCACTGGCACCAGTACCACGTCATCTTCCACGCTCGCGTCGGCGCCTTCCAATGATGCACTGAAGAACGAGCAGTTTGCTAATGCCAGCGGAACCGGGTCGAACACGCCTTCGAGCGGCAACGCGCAATCGATCACTGCATCTTTCGCGCAGCAGAACTCCGAATACAACTTATCGGAGGAGTCCTGGAAGCATCACGCTCAGGCGCGCGCGATACTGTCGAACCTGATTGGGCCAAATGGCGAGCAGTTGACCTCCTCGGATCCATACAACACGACGGTTTTCGTCGGTGGTCTGTCTCCTCTCATCAACGAGGACACTCTCAGGACGTTCTTCGCTCCTTTCGGCGAGATCCACTATGTAAGGATTTCCGTCTGATCCATTCCTTTCGTATTTATTTATGTTCGTCTCAGGTCAAGGTCCCTGTGGGCAAGCATTGCGGCTTCGTTCAGTTCGTCCGGAAGCCCGACGCGGAGCGTGCCATCGAGAAGATGCAGGGCTTCCCTATTGGAGGTAGCAGGATTCGATTGAGCTGGGGCCGTAGCCAATGTAAGTTTAGTCTCACAACCTACGCTTGCAAAATGCTCACCTTTACACAGACAAGGCAGCGCAGGCAGCGGCACAGGCCGCCCAGGCCGCCGCGTTCCAGGCTCAGTATCAACCGCAGGCAGCTCCGAGCGCGCCGCTACCGAGCATGCAGGGTCCCAACCCGCAGAACCCCAGTTCCCTTACCCCTGAGCAAGCGCTTCAGCTTCTTGAGAAGTTTGGACTGACGATAGCCGGTGGCGGCGGGGGTAGCGGCGGGGCGGAGAATGTGAGTAACGAGCGTCAGATTGCAGCTGCTCTGCTCAACGACGTCGATGACGATCGCTTGGCATCGTTCAACGCATTCGCTCCTCCCGTCTTTGCTCCTCGCCAGGGCGCGATGTCTACCATCTTCTCTCCATTCTCACCCGATCCCAACTATATGGCTGAACGAGCGAACATGGGCGTCCCATCCACACAAGCACAACCCCTTTCGCACGCCTCAAAGGTCTACGCACCGTGGTACACCGGGCAGGACGAGAAGGTCGGGAGTACGAGCGGGAAGGTTTCGCCCACCTCCATGCACAGTGGTCGCGCGCCGAACGCCCCCAATCGTTTCACGTCGTTCCTCGGCGAAACGCCGGCTCCTGGGTCATACCAACCCCGTGCATCCAGCCGTCAGGAGACGGCCATTTCGAGGCCCGAGGCTACCCGTCGCGACTCGCAGCATCAAGAGCGCCTGTCGCACGGACAAGACCCTGACTCGTTCCGGGATTTCAACGGCACGTTGGCCAGTCTTTCTCTCGACGATCACGACAACTCGCAGTCGCAGGGCGCCGCGCACTAAAGCAACAAGCCCTCACCACAAGGACGCTCTATCCCCATAATTTCTCCACTGTTCTGGCTTTGTTTCCTCGTTCGTTCCAGTTCGCTTGGTACCCCACATCATCCTATGGCTATCGAATGTCACTTTCACGTTCTTCACGACGCTGTGTCAATCCCGCCTTCCGTCCTTCCCCATCATGTTCCATGTTAGCATGCGGAATCTGTTATATACATCCCCTCTGCAACGCATCTCTCCTGTCGTACCTCTATCCTGTTAGTCTCGAATGTTTGCCGCTACGACACCTCTCACACGACTCGCGAAGCCCCCATCTCCGTTGTCTCGTTTTGTCCAGCCTACTCTCCTAGTCTCTGTTGCATCTCGATAGTATCTGCTGTCCATCGGGGGGTTATTGCCTTTCCGTACAATGACAAATAATGAGACAGATCGAATGTCCCAACTGCGATGTCTGACGATACTCGCCCGCGGCCGTCTGCCCAAGTATACGTATAGACGCCCGTAAGAAGGTGGGCGCTCCGCTGAATTGGGCCAAGCCCTGAAATAGGGTTTAGAACGCTTCTGGCATCTGTGCCGTGACCAATTTTTCGCTCGACGTACCGCACGACGACCTCCCATCATGGCTTCCAACGGTGTAAACGGCGCATTCCACGACGACGAGGACATTGACTACTCGGACATCGAAGCAAAGTATGTCATCCAGTCGCAGACTTTTCATCGCAGATCTAACAGCCTCGGCAGATACCAGGTCGAATACGATGAGAGCTTCGACAACATCCTGGTCGTCGATGGCGTACCAGTCATCGACAAGGCGAAGCTAGAGAAGCTCCTGCAGAAGATCTCGAAAGACTTCTCGCGCAAGGGATGCCCCATAAAACCGGACAACATCACCGTGCCGTGGAACGATGCAGCAGGGAAGAGCAAAGGGTGCGTCTCGCCGTGGTCCCGCTCGCAGTCCCTGGTCCGGGAGACTGACCGCATGGGGTGCAGCTACCTGTTCATGGAGTTCTCCAACGCGGACGATGCCGCCCGTGCGCTCCTGACGATGAACGGACACGCCTTCGACGCGAAGCACACCTTCCTGATCAACCGCTTCACCGACTTTGAGCGCTACCTGAACGTGGATGAGACCTACCACGAGCCCCCGTTGGAGGAGTACAAGCCGAAGGTGAGCCCGTTGTGTCATGTCAGGGTCTCGATTGGAAGATTGACTTTGGGGCAGGAACATTTGCGTGCTTGGCTTGGCGATGCACAAGGTCGTGACCAATACGCGACCTACCGCGGAGACGATGTCGAGGTTCACTGGCACGGGAAGCCGTCGCAGTGCGAGGTTGCCTACAGCAAACCTGTGAGTCGTTTTCAGGCCATCGTTACTGCTCACGAAGCTGAACGAGGCCGACTTTTCCTCGCTTAGAACTGGACGGATCTCTACGTCTCATGGTCCCCCATGGGCACGTTCATGGCGACACTGCACCGTCAAGGTGTGCGTCTCTGGGGCGGCACCTCGTGGGAGCCGCAGCAGCGGTTCGCACACCCGCTTGTGAAGCTCATCGACTTCTCGCCGAACGAGCAGTACGTCGTCACCTGGTCGTTCGACCCGATCGTCGTGCGCGAGGGCGCCGAGCAGGGCCCGCAGTACTTCTCGCCCGAGGACGAGGGCAACAACATCGCGGTGTGGGACATCCGTACGGGCCACCTGCTCCGCACGTTCCCGAGCGCGTACGCGGAGGGCGGCGAGGAGAAGAAGCAGATGCCGTGGCCTGCGCTCAAGTGGAGCCCGGACGACAAGTTCGTCGGGCGCGTCACGCCTGGGCAGCAGATCAGCGTGTATGAGCTGCCGGGCATGCATTTGCAGGGGAAGAAGAGCATCAAGATCGAGGGTGTTGTTGACTTTGAGTGGCGCCCGATGGGCGACAAGGACCGCGAGGATATGGAGAAGGAGATCAAGGCGGCGGCGAACGGCACCCCGATCAAGCAGAAGAAGGCTTGGGAGAACATGCTTGCGTACTGGACGCCCGAGGTCCAGAACCAGCCGGCTCGTGTTACGTTGTCGAGCTTCCCCAGCCGCGAGATCTTGCGCCAGAAGAACTTGTTCAACGTCACGGAGGTACGTTGCTACCGTCAAGTGTTGCGTCATTGGCTGATCATAATCGCCTCGTACAGTGCAAGCTCTACTGGCAAAACCAGGGCGACTTCCTTTGCGTGAAGGTCGACCGCCACACGAAAACGAAGAAGTCCATCTTCTGCAACCTCGAGATCTTCCGAGTGCGCGAAAAAGACTACCCCGTCGAGATCGTTGAGCTCAAGGGTGAGCATTGGTCCTCGTGTCCATCTAGAACAAGCTAACATATTGGTATAGACACCGTCACCGACTTCTCCTGGGAACCCAAGGGCGAGCGGTTTGCGCTTGTATCAAGCAGCGACCCCAACCTCGGCAACCCCGGTCCTGGTATCACGATCAAGACGGACGTCAGCTTCTACCAGCTGGACCGCACGAAGGGCGACTTCAAGCCGCTCAAGACGCTTCCCGCACGGACGAGCAACACCGTCCGCTGGTCGCCTCGTGGCCGTCATGTCGTGCTCGCCACCGTCGGCTCGTCGAGCAAGTCCGAGCTCGAGTTCTGGGACCTTGACTTCACCGCAGACGAGACCCGCCGCGAGGGTGCTCCCTGGGGCACTGGCATCCAGCACCTGGGCACCGCTGACCACTACGCGTTGACGGATGCTGAGTGGGACCCCAGTGGCCGGTACCTTGCCACTAGTGCCAGCGCATGGAGGCATACGGTACGTCAATTGCTCGCTATGCTTGCGCCCTTTTTCCTGACCATGTGTTTTAGCTCGAGAACGGCTATGCCATCTGGGACTTCCGTGGCCAAGAGCTCGAGAAGCACATCCTGGACCGCTTCAAACAGTTTTTGTGGCGCCCTCGCCCGCCGACCCTGCTCACCAAGGAGCAGCAGCGCCAGATTCGGAGGAACCTCAAGGAGTACAGCCGTGTCTTCGACGAAGAGGATGCCGCGGAGGAGAGCAACGTCAGCGCGGAGCTCATCGCGCACCGGAAGCGCCTGGTGGACGAGTGGAACGCGTGGCGGCTGCGCTGCAAGGAGGAGGCGGCGGAGGAGCGGCGGAAGTCGGGGAAGAAGAGCGAGCCCGCAAAGGAGAAGGCCGTGGAGGAGGAGAAGGAGGAGATCGAGCTCTGGATCGACGAGGTTATCGAGCAGATCGAGGAGGAGATCGTCGAGTAGGCGGATGCGGTGCGGCTTGCTTGGTGTGTGGGCTTGATTTTGTGCGCGTGAATAGTTCTTCTTTCTATGCATGTTGTATTCATCGCGGCCTCTTCATGGAACGCGCGCGAGATACGGTGACAAAGTCACGCGGTTTTTTGGCCGACCGCTAACAACCGATGACCTTCCCGGCTACCTTTTAGTCAGTGTTTTCAACTGTTTTTAACAGATCGTCAACAACTTTGACAAACCGCTAAGGGCGTCTTCACGATACCCTGGTATGGAGCCCTTCCAAGTTCGCTGCACTTGTGTGACACACGCGCCTGTCACCTTGTGGGTCCGTCACGGGGCGCTTTGGGAGAGCTCCACGGCTGGGAACGATCTCGACCCCGAGCTCGTCGTGAGTGACGTTGTGGGTCGACGTCCGAGCTCCTCTCGCCGGACGTACATCACTCCAAGAGCAATCGTGCTCGTCCTTATAAAAAGGGACTGGCCGATGCCTCCACCGACCCATGTTCTCCATCTTTCGCTCTGCGCTCAGACAATCAGCAACCGTCGCTCCTCGCACCTTTCAACCAACCCGCGCACTATCCACAACTATCAAAAGCCGTTTTAACGCATCCATGGCATCCGGCAACGCAAAGTTCGCGTCGTCACGCCTCTTCGACGTCGAGGGCTGGGTCTGCGTTGTCACCGGTGGCGGCACAGGCATCGGTCTCATGATTGCGCAAGCCTTCGCCAACAATGGCGCGCGTGTGTACATCACCGGCCGTCGTCCCGAGGTCCTAGAGCAGACCACGAAGGCGTGGGGCAAGTCCCTCGTTAATCCGCGCGGCCAACTCATCCCTGTACCCGCGGACATCACGGACAAGGCATCGATCGAGCACCTCTTCAAAGAAATCAGCAAGAACGAGAAGCATGTCGATGTGCTCGTCAATAACGCCGGGGTGAGCTTGGGCACCAGCGAGGTAGAGAAGGGCGATGAGAGCGCCCAAGCTCTGAAGGACGAACTCTGGAAGGAGGAGCTCTCCGACTGGGAGACTGTATACCGAACGAACGTCATTGGGTACGCGCACACATACCATCTTCCGTACAAACGACTTGACCCACATTCGTAGCTACTTCTTCACTACCGCTGCTTTCCTACCGCTCCTTTCTGCGGCAGGTCGCGAAGGTCACACTGGGTCGGTCATCAATATCTCGTCCATGTCGGGCATCACCCGGACGACCCAGCACCACTTCAAGTACAACGTCTCCAAAGCCGCCACCATCCACCTCAACACCCTGCTCGCTCAGGAGCTCCGTCGGCCGGGTGTGAAAGTCCGGGTCAACAGCATCGCTCCGGGGATCTTCCCAAGTGAGATGACGCGTACGTATATGCCCTACGAGTTATGTTGGCGTCGCTCATAACGCCTGGTATCAGAGGGCGAGTCGGATGACAAGAATAAATCCACTATGCAGGTTCCGCCGGACTACGGCGAGAAGAAGGGTATTCCTGCTGGACGTCCGGGAAGCGAGGAGGATATGGCACAAACGGCTTTGTACATCGCCACCAACGAATACTTGTACGGCCAGGTACGTACACGCAGCTTTGGTTGCTTTGTGTGTGCAATGCTAACTTCCGTGGTCAGACGATCCCCGTCGAAGGCGGTTATCTGCTTGAGCACCCGTAAGGCCTTGAAAGGCCTTCGGAGCGATGCATTGTACTATACGTCCGATCTGTTGAACTCTTGGTGTGTTTTGTAGCAAGTGGATGCTTTCGAGTTGTGGTTATGAAGTCCAATGTCTCGGCCAGGACACGCAGTGAGACTTCAACGTCGAGGATCGTCGTCTGACCGCCCGAAGGGGAAACAGCTTTGCGAACGCGTTCGTAATATAACCTGGACGTCGTAGTGATGTTCATCAATAACCCCACAACCCGCATACACGCGCATCTCCAACTTGCCCCAAGAACAACAGTGAGTGCGCCGCGACATTGTGTTGAATGAGCGAAGGCCCTGACCGGAGTCGATCATACCTCTCTCATAGACTGAACCGACGATGGACAAGATGTGGCCCATCAATTATCAGCGACTCGTCCTACCGTGCTCTTTCCAAGACCTTTTCGACAACATCTTCGTTCTCTGGGCCCTCACGCTGACGATCCTAGACATCGTCTACATCATCTATCGCGCCATTCGCGCTCCCGTCGCACCAAAAGAGCCTCACCCTGATACCATCGCGTGCAAAGAAATAGAACGGGTCGCCGAAACCGCAGTAAAGAGCCTGGACGAAGCCATAGCGCGCGTGGGGGCCGAGCAGGCGCGGAACATGGACGCGTGGCGCGCCGGCGGCGAGCGCAAGTACGACGCGATGCTCTACCTGAGCGTCGACTCGATCGCTTGCGAGGGCAAACACATCGTCGCGGAAGCGGAGCTTGCGAAGGCCCAGATTGCCAACACCCGCATGCGAAGGACGCTGGATTTCGCGGACAAACAAAGGCAGGCTGCGGTGGCGCAGTGCTTGGAGGCCTGTATCCAGGCGAAGGCCGAGAAAGAGAAGACGCTAGAGCGGCTGAAGAGGACAGAAGCAGCGCTGGCGAGCCAGGAGGACCGCAACGTGGAGCTCAAGAAGAAGTACGGCGAACTCGAGGCCGTGCGGAAGAGGACGGAGGAGCAGATGAAGAAGGTCATGCGGGAGAAGGACGAGTTGGTGGACACATCCGCGAAGGAGAAGGAGGAGCTCGAGCAAGCCCTGCACCGCAAGGGCCCGAGGGAGCTCAAGGCTGCGCTGGAGGACTTCATGACCGTGCGGTCCGACTCCCAGTGACGAGGCGTTCGTGCAGCTGGGAGACTGGCAAAAAATAACATCAGATGTGCGACGTAGAGCAGGCGTAGAGCTTACAATTGATCACTTACATTATTCCGCAATGTGAAATTTTGGACGAACTCGCCTTGGGTGGAAAAGACGTCCCTGCTTACACGCGGGCGAGTTCAAGGCGAAGCGTTGGCGGCAAAAGGCTCAAAGTTGTCATGCCCGAACGCGTCGGTCAAGTATGTGCCAGCACTGGTGGGGACCAAGTCGAGGCGAAGGTCTAGGGCTAAGCACAACGGGCCTGAGCGGTGATCTAGATCTGACCAAAGCGTACTCGTGGTCTGGCAGGCCGCCACGCACAGTCCAAAAGGCCTTTGTGTGTTTGGGTATAAGTATCCCATGCGTTCCATCTAGCTCCGTCCCTACATCTTCGAGAGCTACGGTACCGACTGGGGTCGATATCACTTCCCGTATAGATATGAAGTCATGGGATGAGGATCACCCCCTCTGGGCAAGTTTACGAGACCCGTCGGAAGACCAGAGGCTCGACAGCTCGCGCCCTTTCCAAGACTTCATCGACGACCACCGGAACGTCTTCGCCATCTGGGCCATCACACTGACGGCCCTCAACGCCCTCTGCATCATCTACATCATCTACCGCGCCACTCACGTCGTCGCCGCGCGTAGAGGAAACCTTCCGCATCCCGACGTCCTCGCGGCCAGGGCAGAAGCCCAGCTCGCCCAAAACGCAGCGAAGACCCTCGACGAAAGCATGGCGCGCTGGGAGGCCATGCATGCACGCATCATGGACGCGTGGAACGGGATGCGCAAGGATGACGCGATGCTCGACCTGCGCCTCGAGTGGTACTCGTCCGCGGGCGAGTGCATCACCGCCCAGGCGCAGCTCAGCAAGGCTCGGATCAGCATCATGCGCATGCAGCGGGCTCTCGACGATGCGGACAAGCAGCGCCAGGCCGCGGTGGCACAGTGCCTGGAGGTGTGCACACAGGCGAAGGGCGAGAAGGACGAGACGCTGGAGTTGCTAAGGAAGAAGGAGGCGAAGCGAGCGAGCCAGGAGGGGCGCAACATGGAGCTAAGGAAGAAGTGCGCCGAGTTCGAGGCCGCGCAGCTGAAGACGGAGGAGCAGATGAAGAAAACCATGCAGGAGAAGGAGGAGCTTGAGCAGGCTTTGCGTCGCAAGGCCGCGACGGAGCTTAAGGCTGCGCTCGAGGACTTCATGACCGTGTGGTCCGAATCCCAGTGAAGAGCCTTGCGTGCAGCTTGAGAGGCTGACAGAGAGTAGCATCAGTTTTCTGACGTACTGTGGTGTCACGACCTTAGGCGACGCAACACAGGTCACATGACCGTGGGATTTGAGGACCCAGAGGCGACGAACGCGGCGGGACAGGGGACAATGGCGACCACGACCAGGCGCGAGGTCCCTGAGGCGCACCTGGCATGGCTAAGCTGTATGGTGGCTAACTGGTCTGCGTATATTAGATGTCAATTGCAGTTCTTTCAACCATATCACCACCACGATGTCGGACTTTGACACCCACACCATGACCGGCACGCGCACTGCCCTACGGCAGCGACTCACCGAGAAGATCGCCACCCTCGCGAAGTTGTTCTCTACCCTGCCAGACAGCCTTCCTTACGTATCTGGCTCTGCGAACCCAGTACTCGATGAAGAAGACATTTTAGAACTCGGGTACAGTGGCGCGCTCAATCGCTGCTTCCACGGCCTGTGGGGATACAAGGCCGAGGGGCTGACTATAACAGAACGGGGCTACAAGCTCAAAAGCTCTATAGAATTGCTGAACATGGTCATCGTCTCCACGGACGACCTGGTCATCGTGGAATCATGGGTCGATGCACTTGCACAGGCTGCAGAAGCCAGTGGTGCATCCTGCTCGTACGCACACCATTTATCTTCATTCTGCTGTGAAATCATACTCATATTTGACGTCTCCAGCAGTACCACATCTGTTGAGGCTCATGCGACTGTAGAGACGACCACATCAATCCCGACACCACCCCCTGCCAATGCACATGAGAGACCATCGGGTCCGCGCACTGGCGGCCGAACACGGTTACCTGCTGCTCCGATGAAGCAGGGTACGCTCGCATTTCGCAAGCTGACAAAGGAAGAGGCTGCAGAGCAGAATGCGCACGAGTTTCACGCTCTCCGGGAGACGACCGCTCAGAGTGAAGCACGGGAGTCTATACGGAAGGCCCGCGAGCAGGAGCAGCGCAAGGCATATGAACGAGAGCGCAAGGTGTGGTACCGGTTCCGTCAGAAGGACAACTCAACATCATTCAACTCTACCTCTCCCAATGTCCAGGTGACATCCTCCACACCGCAACCATTGCTCCCGATGTTGCCACAGGCTTCTACCAGAGCAATCTCTTCTGTCGAGTCTGTCATCTCACCCCAACCTCTTCAATCTCAGGAAATCTTGCAGCCAGACCCGTCCGATGTCATTGACATCACGTCTGAGCATTCCGATACCGAGTCCCTCGTCAAAGACAGCCCCGCAGTGGCTGGCACTGGGGTCGCAGTTCTGACGTCCTCACAATTGGTATGTATTCTCTATCAGTACATGCTTCGTCGACTGCTCACTGCCTCAAAAGTGCGCTCCAATCCAGGTACAATCTCCATCTGTGAAGCAGCAGAATGCGCAAGCGACCGTTTCTGGTCGAACAATCGCCCGACGTGACAAGCAGGCAAAGAAAACAGGCCAGGCACCTCCGCCATTCCGCACAAACTGGCAGTGCCACTGGACATGGCAAGACATTCTTGAGGCTCAGCGCAAGGTCGGATGGAGCCCGACTGAGATAACCAAGTATCTGTGGAAACTCCGCCCAAGCTGGTATGCTCCGGACGAGGGGCAGGGTGGCGGTCTTCACCGTGGCACCGTAGCAAAGTGGATGGAGTCGGACAGCGGCGGTCAGATGCGCTGGAAGGAGAGTGTCCTTGAACGTGCGCGTCTTGGGCGCATCGGAGTGACAAAACGGTCAAAGTTGCTGGTGAGTTACTTTCTTGTGGTTTAGGATGTGCGTATGTACTCATATTGTCTCAGGATAAACATCCCGAAGTCATGAAGGCAATCAACACGCAGCTTGAGAGCATCCGACTGGTTGGCGGCTGCGTGCAGCGTCCGCTAGTTAGTGCGGTCATGCGGGCTCATCTAATGCACAGTATCCCATACGTTTTCGACCAAGGCTTCAAGCTCTCCAACACCTGGGTTCATAACTACATCTCTGACGTCTTGAACTAGTCTATGAGGAAGTCGACAAAGGCCGCTCGCAAGATTCCAGCAAATGCGAACGATTTGTGCCGAGCAATGCACGCACGCATTGCTCTCGTCTGCCGCCTGTACAACATCAAAGCGGACATGGTGATCAATGCAGATCAGACTGGAATCAGGCTCTTCCCTACTGGCAAGTACACCTACGAAGTGAAGGGTTCGAAAGATGTGTCGATTGTCGGCCACGAGGAGAAGCGGCAAGTACGTGACCATTTCGCCACTGCATTCACCCAAGCCACTGACTCTGTGATATCTCAAGATGACGCTGGTGGTTGCCTCCTCCATGAGCGGGAACATGCTTCCATTCCAGCCTGTTTGGGGAGGCAAAACGGCTGAATCATTGCCTTCGACAAAAGCAGCTCGCAGGAACGAAGCAGATGCCCTCGGATTCAAGTATGCGCATGGCGATACTCGTCATTGGAGCTCACGTGAGACGACGAAGGAGGTGCGTGCCACATCCATGCAGGTCGTACATGTCAGTTAATTAGTCCTGATCGCCGCTACAGTGGGTTCTCGACATCGTTGACCCTTATCTCGCCAAAGTGAAAGCGGACAATCCAGACATCACTGAGAATGACCGTGCCCTTCTTCTCATAGACATTTGGCCGGTTCATATTGCGCAAGGCAGTCCCGATGACTTCCTCCCTTGGATGAAGCGCACTCACCCAAATATCATTATGCTCTTCGTTCCCGGTGGATGTAAGTGTTTTGTGATCGCAAAAACTCGTCGCTTACCATGTTTTACTTGCAGGTACTGGCCTTGCACAACCAGCAGATGTTGGCCTTCAACGTATCCTGAAACACCAGATCAAGCGCAGCGCAACTGACTTTGTTGTTGCCACTGCAACTCGACAGCTGGCAGTTCAAGGTCGTAAACCAGAGGACATCAAGCTTCCGACCGATCTGCCCACTCTTCGCAATGCCTCCATTGCCTGGCTCCTCGATGCACATGCGTATTTTCGCAAGAACCCCGACGTTGTGCGCAAAGCTTGGTCAAACTGCCAATTTACAACACCCAAGCACGGCATACTCAATCTTTCGTATGATTCTGTCACCAGTATCGAGTCGACGAACCATTCGAACCAGCTCTACGCCACGGACCCCACTCTTCGCCAGGAACTTGCAAAATTCCAATTTTCGACAGTCTCTGGAAGTCCTGAAGCCGATGACGGCCCTGATGCGTCGACCGCTGAATTTGACGACGACTTATCCGTTGACGCCACCGATTTAGCCAAACTTTGGATGAATGGGCCGCAGATTGCCTCCGATGTCGTTGCATCTGATCCTGTTTGTAACGGCCACCGTGCACGTGACTTACCCGATTCGGATTTGCCTACGATACGCCTCGCTACGCGCCCGTCTCCCTTCGACGAACCAACACCAGTATGGCGTCGGCGCTCGCGCGCCCTCCCCTCGCTTGCCCTGTACCCTTGCCTACGCCCTCCAATCTACTCGTTCTCGCAGATCTCGTCCGGCGCGGGGCACCGGCCCATTACAGTTTGGTTCGTCCTCCAAATTCGCGAGTTGTCAAGCGTTCAACGCCCTCGCAACAACCCTCGGTCGCCGTCGTTCCTCATGGCGACCACCGCCTGTTCACTTTGCTTTGTCTTCGCTCTTTTCCAGCGGCCTCTCTCTAGGTCGCTGTTCGTTCACCCGCACCTGTAGCTGCTCGGTCCACGCTCGACTGCCGCTCGCTGCTCGCTTCCAAGCCCCTATCTGGCGACGGCGAGCTCGTTCCCCTCGGCGGTCCCCGTGCGATCCCCCACAGCTTCCACCACACTCGCTCTTTCAAGACTGCGCAAGCCGTCAAGCCGGCAAGGCCCTCGCACCCCCGACCTGTCGCCGTTTTCTGCGACGGCCATCCCTTCGTTCTCCCCCCGTCTGCCCGGTCCTCTGTCGTCGTTTGCGCCGCCGACTTTCCCTCGACAGCGCCCCTTGAACGTGGGCCTTCACAGGCTCTTGCCTTGTTGGACCCGCACTGGGCTGCGCTCTCACTGCTCTACGCGGTGCCGGGCACCTAACCGCTGTTTTTCGCCCGCACACGGCACCTTGGGCTCGTCGGCCACCTCCCCGCCCATCCCATCGTTCAGGTGACATCCCGAAGCACGCCCGCTCGACGTCTTCGTTTCGCGCCCTTCACGGTGCGCTTTCCGCCTGTTTTTTCTCGTTTTCTTCGCTCTCTCCGCCCCTATCATCAACTCGGTCGACAATCATGCCCCTCTTCGCTCGCCACGCTCGCCTGCTCGCATCCTAGCCCTCCCACCATCCCCCAGTCCTCCGACCCTCTTCCATGTCGCCTCGTATTTCCTCTCCTCAGGCTCCGTCGAGGAAATCCTCAGCGGAAAAAAGGGGGATAGGTGTAGTGAAGACGGAACCTCGGGAGGACACGCAGGTGGAGCAGAGCGACCAGCAAGTGTCCTCGGAGACCTCCGGGACAACTCGCAGAGGCAGGCCGAAGGGTGCGGAGGACTGCCGGAGCGCAGTCGGCGCGTCCGTGCAGGTTTGTAGCGGATGCGGAGAGCCTCGCATGGGCGCAGGTCTCCCTCCGCTGCCTCCCTCGTAGCCGTCGCAGCATGCAGCGCGACGCGCTCATCTCTGGACGCCTCCTCGGGACGAGCGGCATCCAGCTTCGCGCAATTTTCAAGATTTTTCACGCCTTCGAAATCTTCGTTTTCAAGCCTCATTTTCGATGTTTTCACGCCCTCGCTTGCTGTTCGACTCCCCGGCACACCTCGACTTCGACACTCTCCGCACACCTCCCAGCATCATAGCACCACTTTTCATACTGCATACCGGCTCATGTCCGGCTCCTCCTCTCTCGTCGTCGCTTAGCTGCCGTCTCCGCCCTCGACTCCCTGCCCCTCGAACTCCCCGCAACATTCTTCGCCCCCCCAGTGCACCCTCCTATCCGGTCGTGCGCACCTCGGCCGAGGTCGAACCGCGCCGACACCCCCGTTCCCGTTCCTGCTTTCGGTCTTCGCACCTCGGCAGTGGCCGTTGTCGTGCTCGTCGGGGTTTGATAGTAGGCAGCGGTTTTCGATGTAGGTCGAGAAAACCAGAAATTTGTTTTGTGTGGAGGGGTTGTGGCCTGTGTGTATCAAATTCCTACGCTATAGTTGCACCTGCCGCAAAGCGTGTGGGTTTTCCTTCTTTTCCGACAGAGGCTTTGCCGAGTTCGGATGGATGGTGGTTTGTAGTTTCACCAAGGAATAAACACCAAAACCTTTCTCTGATCAACTGTCCACTAACACGCGAATACGTAGGGATGTGTGAGTGTGTGTGCGGGTGAGGTAGGATGGGGTGACGGGAATGCAAGTGAGGTGAAAATGTGAAATGGGGCCTAGAAACTGAGGGCTTTTGGTTAGTACGTTGACGTTTGGATGTGCTTACCCTGTGGAGCACTAGTGGCTTGTCCTGGCTTATCTTGACTGGAGGACCTTCGTAGTCCCGTATACTTGTTTAGTGGGAGGATT